AAGTTTAAAAAACATATTATTAATATTTATTTCTAAATGTTAATAATATGCCTGACGTTGTTATACAAAAATCTAGTTCTAAAGGTAAAAAATATGATGCAGTGATAACAGATAAAGAAGGAAAGACTAAAACTGTTTCATTTGGACAAGCTGGTGCAAGTGATTTTACAAAAAATAAGGATGAAAAACGGAAAGAAAACTATATTGCAAGACACGGTGCTACACAGTCTTGGACTGATATTAAAAAGCCTCAAACATGGTCTAGGTATCTTCTATGGGAAGAAAAAACAATACCTAAAGCAATTAAGAAAATGGAAAACAAGTTTAATATTGATATTAAAAATAATATATAAAAAGTTTAATCTAAAACTTTTTATATGGAAGAAAAAGTAGATTTGAACATGTTATGTTTAAGAGAAGAACTTGTAGAAGGAATGCAACAAATTTATATCAAATTAGGAGAGATAGAAAATAGAGTAATGGAAAAACTACAGGTATTAAATAAACCATCACCAGATAAAGATGTTTCATATCAGAATAAAAGAAATGCTTACTTATCAAAATTAAATAATTTTGAAATATTAACACCAAAAAAAAGCACTCTTGAATACTATAAGATAAAAAAAGAAAACGACAAATATATTTAACAGTTTTACGGGATTTCCAGATTGGTTTTCCGGGATTTCCAGATTGGTTTTCCGGGATTTCCAGATTGGTTTTTTACCTCTTCAAAAACAAAAAAACACCATTAAAAAATGTTCTAAAGAAATAAATATATAATATATGTATATATATTAATGGCTGAAAATAATAGTAAGAAAAAACTTGTTTGGAGTTCACAAGATGAAAGCAGGTATAATTCATTATACAACAAACTAAAAGAAAAAAACCCAGATATTACAAAAGAAAATTACATTAAAAACTTTAATAAAAGAAACTTACAACAATTTATTAGCAAACTTGAACTATCAACATCCACTAAAGAAAGTTATTATTTTATGGTTAGTAAATGGTTAAAAATCAACCATCCACAAAATGAAAGTGCAATAACAACTTTTTCTAATTTAGGACATAAATTAATGATGGAACGAAGCAAAGATTATGCTGAAAACACATTAAGCGAAAAAAAGCAAAAGAATTTTAGAGATTATTCTTATTTTGTAGATATACTAAATTCTATTAATTACAAAGAAATTAAAACATATAGAACACATTTACAATACCTATTATTAAGTTTACTAATCAAGCAACCACCATTAAGAACATCTGTATATACGAGTGCCCAATTTCACACCAAAGGCGGTTATAATAAACAAGAAAATCATATTATGTTATATACCGCGGGCAGGCGACGAGTTAGTTTTTATGTAGGTCGTGATAAAGTAAGTAATTCAAAGTTTTATAAAGAAGATATACAAAGAAACTTTGTTGACGTTGAAGACAGAGATTTAATTGATTTAATATATTATTCTTATGAGAATTACCCGCGAACATATTTGTTTGAAAACAACGGTAAACCCATTCAAGACGAAACCCTTTTAAAATATTTGAGAGAAATAACAAAAGTTGAGGGCCTAGATATTGATACAATGCGGTCTGTTTATATAAGTCATTTTTACAATAAGTTTAATTTAACTTGGAAAGAAAAAGAAGCGATGGCTCAGAAAATGCGACATGACGTACGGACCGCTCAACATAAATATTTGCTTGTCGTGGAACAAACAAAAACCGATAAAGCAAAAGATGATAGAATTGAACAGTTAGAAGCACAAGTAGCACGATTAAACGACGAAAATGAAACACTAAAAAATCAAGTGAAGGATGCAGAAGATAAGTTTAAAGATTTTAAAGGCGAGGCATCACAAACGAAAGAATGGAAAAAACGACGATACGATACTATTTTCAAGTTGAATTCAGGTAGGCAAACAAATGTCAAAGAAAGCACACTGGAAAAGTTTGATATTAAATATAATAATGAAACTAAAAAGTATTATTAACCAAAATACAATTATAATATTTAGTTATATTGTTATTGTATTAAAAATGTCTTAAAGAAATATTGACTTATTCAAGTATTGTAGAACAATGACAAAAACATATGAAGAAATCAGAGAATATATTGAACAGCAACTTAAAAGCGAATGGTTCTGTAAACAAAACATGGAACTATACAAATTAAATTTACCATGCAATATTAAAATTACAATAATAAAATACAATCATAACAAACCTACAGATGCTGAAGTGACAGTATGGAATAACAGGCTACGCTTAATGGGTTGTCATGTTACTCAGAATAGATTTAACCGCCGAAATATTGAAGATGATATTATTTGTTTTCTTGTTGTTTATAAGTTACCAAGTTTTGAATATCTAAAAACAAAAAAGAAAATAAGTGAAAAACGATATGATGTTATGTATAATATTCATCATAGTTTGTTATATAACCATGAACAACAAGACATTAAAAAGTTCATAAGGGACTACATTATGATAAGAACAAAGTTAAGTATTGAAAGAACCATAAAGGATTTTAATGAAATATTGAAAATTACTTTTGAACAGCAACAGCACAAGAACAGCAAGAAACACCTTAACTTTTGCCCTCAACTTGTTCTGTAAATGGAAATACCACCATAATATATTATTATATTATGATTGTATTATATACAGACATTATATACATACGTAAATATAGACCGTCATAATACAACTTATTTACCTTATCTATATAACAACATTTATATATAACTTGGTATATTACCTAGCATATAACCTAGCATATCATAACAACTAACTAAATACATATATATTATTATTATATTATTATTATATATATTATACTTATTTAAAATATATAATAAAACAGTTAACTATATTACAGGTATGACAGTATGCTGGTCAAAAACCAAGTTAAATTAAAAAAAAATTTTAAAAAATATTTTTTGAAAAATATTTTTTGTACTATATATCTAAGTTATGGTCTATAATGGCTAACCTAGCATATCATAACAGTTAGATAGATACGACTATACATATTATGACACCAGCCATCATTTTAACCTTATTTAAATACATTAACACATGAATTATTACATAAATTATTACAAAAATTGAAACAAAAATTATTACAATAATTATTACATAAATTATTACAAAAAATTATTACATAAACGTATAATATAGCCCCCCCCCGAACGTTTTTGTATCAGTTTCAACATATTGTTTATAAAAGATATTTATGTAATTTGTTAAAAAAATAATTACATAAATTATTAAATAAATTTGTGATGCGGAGCACGGCCCGAACGCTTTGGTAAAATTTATTAAATAAATTATTAAATAAATTATTAAATAAACTTGTGATGCGGGGCACGGCCCGAACGCTTTTGTAAAATTTATTAAATAAATTATTAAATAAATTATTAAATAAATTATTAAATAAATTTGTGATGCGGAGCACGGCCCGAACGCTTTTGTATCAGTTTCAACATATTGTTTATAAAATATTTTTTGTAAATTATTACATAAATTATCAAATAGACTTGTGATGCGGGGCACGGCCCGAACGCTTTTGTAAAATATTTTATGTAATCTATTACATAAATTATTAAATAAACGTGTAATGCGGGGCACGGCCCGAACGCTTTTGTAGAATAACTTATTTGATTTATTAAATAAATTATTACAAAAAATATGAATTAAAAATTTACAAAAATTGTTACACAAATTATTACATAAACTTGCATGGCGGAGCAGGGCGAGAGAAAAAAATAAGAGGGGGACCTGACGCGTTTGGGCATGTGATTTCTCCACATACCTCATGTGATTTTTCCACATACCTCATGTGATTTTTCCACATACCTCATGTGATTTTTCCACATACCTCATGTGATTTTTCCACATACCTCATGTGATTTTTCCACATACCTCATGTGATTTTTCCACATACCTCATGTGATTTTTCCACATACCTCATGTGATTTTTCCACATACCTCATGTGATTTTTACACATACCTCATGTGATTTTTCCACATACCTCATGTGATTTTTCCACATACCTCATGTGATTTTTCCACATACCTCATGTGATTTTTCCACATACCTCATGTGATTTTTCCACATACCTCATGTGATTTTGGCCCGAACGCTTTTGTAAAATATTTTATGTAAATTATTAAATAAATTATTGTAAAAAATATTAAATAAAATTTTACAAAAAATGTTACATAAATTATTAAATAAACGTGTAATGCGGAGCAGGGCGAGAGAAAAAATGAAGAAGAAGGCCAGAAAGAAAATGAAGAAGGGAGGCGAGAGAAAAAATGAAGAAGGCGACGAACTCTTTTTACTAATTTTAAAAATATATAGGCATAGGCCTTTATTAGGGTTCCTTATATATTATATGAATCCTACTACTTTGGGGATATAGGCCCAGGGTGTCTTAATCAGGTTCCTACATTACACCGAGGGTTCCTCGATTTTACGGCTTCTCAAACGGTACTGACTCACAAGTTGACACTCCAAAGGTATGAAAGTAGCTTACGGGCCTGACTCGCCGGGTGCATATGAGCGCGTAAATGATCATTAGGACAACCCTCGTGTAGTGCATAGTGGACTTCTATTCATTTAATAAAGTCTCCCTCAATCGCCCCTCGAGACGTAAGAAACCAGGTAGCAAATCTTCTGACCCACAGCCCCTAAACCATGAATCAAACACCGAACGCCTACACCTTGAACCCACAAGCTCAAAGGCCAAAACTCCTTCTTCGAACCACCCTTGTCTATTTGGGGCTTTGGCTGGCAATGGGCGCTCGGTCGTAGCCTAAACCAACCCAGTCACAGCCACCTCTACCAACATCTACGTACTATCGCTGAATCTTGTCATACACCCTTGAGCGCCGCTAAACCCATAAAGCGCATCAAGGTCGGTTTACGGTTTAGGAGCTACTTCAGGATTTAAACAACAAAAACCCTAAATGCGTTGAAGCCCGGGGACATGTGAGCCAACATCGAGATTGGGAAGCTCACGAAAGAGACAGAGATGATCCCGATCAGCACGAAGCCTCGACAGCACACGGATTAACTCGAAACCTTTAAACGTTAAACCCGAAAACACCCTAAAACCCTACAGGGCTAAACCATTTACCTGTAAATCATCGTAAACCCTAAACCTATGTAAATCCTAAGCCCTCAATACCTAAACCGTTATAGGGTCGAATACAATTGGGCAGGACCTGATCGACAGAATAGACCGGCTCTGAGTCAATCTAAATTACCTCAGAAGGCGGCACTCTGGATCCTGCTTCTAAGCACTCGAAACCTAGGTTAGAAAGCCTTCACTCCCCTCGCCCCACACCTGAGGTTGAGGCTTAAGATTTAGTTAGGTCTGCAGTTCAAGGTCGAGGGTTTAGGGCTTGGACGGGCCCGGGTTTCGGGCTTAGGGCTTAGATTCAGATGGGTTTAGGCTTAAAGTCCGGGGTGTAGGATTCAAACTAATTCGTACGGTTCAGGATTCGGGGCTTAGGCTCGGCTTAAGGTGAGTATAGTGTCCGGCTTAAGCCCTGAATCATCTCAGCCTCACTGCTGTTTCTGAGCAGACAAGGCACGTGCCATGGACATCCGGGCATCTGCACAATCCTCACGGGTCATGTTAGACGTTCTTCGAAACCCTCTCAAAAAAGGTACCCCTAATTTTTCTGAAACTCCAAACCCTTGTAGAACCCTTTAAAGGAACCCTTATAGTAACCCTTTAAAGGAACCCTAAGCTACCCCTAATTTTCGGAAACCTCCAAGGTGCGGTGCCGGGGACTTCTGAGATCTAATTGGGGTAGCCAAGATTAGGTCACATGGATTCTGATATGGGGGTTTCCGAAAATTAGGGGGTACCTTTAAAGGGATCCTTGAAGGGGGTTCCTATAAGGGATCTATAGAGGTTCTAGAAAGGGTTTAGGGTTTAAAGTTTCCGGAAATTAGGGGTACCTTATTTTGGGGTCCTTATAATAAGGATCCTACTAATTAGGGCACTATCTTAGGGTCCCCTCTTTTCGCACACTCCCATATTGAAACGGTTACTAGGGCCTTGGTGTTTAAGTATATGGGCTTGGAGTCGAGGTCTGCTTATCCTCGGAGATCTGCCATGGACAAGTCCCTTGCCCTACTTGTCGGGTATCATGGGGAACTAAAGGTTAACCTCTTTGGTTATATAGGGAGTATGTAGGGACCATACTACCCAAAAAAGATTAAAGGCTCCCTACTCTACTACTAGGGTGCTACACCCCAACAGGTTGGGAACTTGCAGCAGCCCCAACAGCTTTCTTCACAGATGCGCTTAGAGCTTAGGGTTAGTTTTTGCGCTCAGCATCCGTCCGCCAAAGGTATACAATACTATAAGCAAACGAGCCTGAAAAGTGGAAACCATACATCCTTGAACGATGAACCCTATGTTCTGTGGCAATTAAACCTTGAACCCTGCTAAAAGTACATGTCGTCCTTAACCGGGATCTTGTTAAGGGGTATATGCTTTAAGCTGCCATAGTACGGAAAAAGTACTATATAATTTGATCCCCATTATTGTAACTTAAACTTTACACATACCAAGAACCCAGTCGAGGTATGAGACCATGGGGAGCTAAAGGTTGACCTTGTTGGTTATATAGGGGCTCTATAGGGACTATGCTGCACAAAAAAGGTATATAGGCGGGGTTAGAAAGGAGCTATACTACCCAAAAAAGGTTAAAGGTTACCTACTCTACTACTAGGTTTACTTCCGGCTGAAGGATAGGCCTCGAACCCGAAAAAAGGAGAAGGAGAAGCCTTACTAGGCTTCAGGGTTTTCTGATTGAGGTCTACTACTAGGGTACACCTCAGAAGCTGCCCCCACCCTGTAATAGTGACTATAAGGATTATATTAGCGCCCTATTATATTCCTATTACACCACTATTACAGGGTGGGGGCAGCTTCTAAGGTACTACTACTTAAAGGATCATGGGACTTAGTAACTAAGGCTATACTTAAGGTAACTATACTTATAACTACTCATAACCCCAATTAAGGTACTTATAACCTTACTTACTAAGTCCCATGATCCTCCATCCTAGAACCCCTATAGATCCCTTTAAGGAACCCTATTATAGAACCCTATAGCACCCTTATTGACTAGGGTAAACCCTTAGTGAAGCAGCCGCTGCCCCGCTTCGCCTGCGGGCTCCGGCTGCTGGTGGCAGAGCCAGTGACGCCGAAGAAGAAGGCAGCCACAACCTAAGGACAGTTATGTAACGGTCTAGGGTTGGGGTTTAGGGTTTAGGGTTTAGGGTTTAGGGTTTAGGGAGTTATGTAAACTTTTTACCGTAGGACAGCGGCTTTAAAGGGGACCTATAAGGGTTCTATATGGGGTTTATAGGATTTAGGGTTTAGGGATTGGGGTTAAAGTTGGAAACCTCATAGCCTCGGCCCTTCAGTGCAATTTATAGGGACTCCCTGCACGTTTTGGCCTTGATCCGGTTTCCAACTTTATGGGGTTTACTGTGAGGACAGCGGCTTTGTTAACAATAAGAACAAGATAGTAGAATATTAGTACCAATACAGTAAGATAGTACGATTTTAGTCTCAATAAGATAGTATAACAGTAGTAACTGTAAGATCGTGTAATAGTGGTACCAATAAAAGGTAGCAGGCAGGAATAACAATAACAGATAGGGCCCCAAAAAAGCACATAAGCAAGGTTTAGGATAGGGATATGCCATATAAACCCCCTTGTAAGGGACCCAATAAGGTAGGGATATCCCTATAAAATGCTTATGCTTATGTGCTTTGTGGGTCCCTAACCAGAATAAGGCCACAGCCCAAGGCCACGGGGCTGAAAGGTTTCGGCCTTCGGGAGTAGGGTTTAGGGTTGAGGTCAGCAGCTCGAGGTCTGAGGCTTCTAAGGCTTCTGAGGCCTAAGGTTTCCAAGGTCTAAGGCTTCTAAGATCTAAGGCCTCTAAGGTCTAAGGCACCAGGTTTAGGTTTTAGATTCTTATGCGGCCGGCTTAGGCTAAGGGCAAATATTTGGGGAAGGGGGGTCCTGAGAGGGGAGCTGGGTTCGTCTGTTGGCGTAGCGCTTGGCAAGTCTCAGTCTCGGGATCGATGACCCAGAGCCTCCAAAACCCCTTAATTAAGGAGTATACCTTAAAGTATAGTAGGATCCATAATATGATTTAAGGTATATTCCTTAATTAAGGGGTTTTGGAGGCTCTGGGGATGTATAAGGCTCCCGGGGGGTGCCAGGCTTGATGGGGATTTTCCGTTCGCAGTATGACAGAAATACCCTAAATCCTGAACCTTGGCAGCAGGTATAGCAAGAGTAACAAAAGCCGCAGCAATCCCCAAGGGAGGATCCATCAACAGGGAACGTCCATGGACCCTTAAGAAGTTATACTTGCGCTCTGAAACCTGAACCCTGACTCAGACACATGGCCCTTAACCCTAAATCCTACACCTCTAAAGCCTAAACCCCCAAACCCTAAACCGTATGGACCCTTCGGGAGTTAGTTGTGCAGCAGTCGCGCTCATGGGACGTTGGCATTGAGCTTACTCTAGGGGTCGACGAAGGGCTGCTTCTTATCATTGTACGACGATAGAAGAGAATAGGGGTAGCTCTCTAGATTAGGGTCACCTTTAGGGTGTTTAAATAAAGGGGTGCAGTACTAGTTTTGGGGAAGAACTACCCTATCTACCCATATACAGAATAGAATAAAATATCATGTTCAAATATATGACCCCAACGCCCTGCAGTACAAAGAACCAAAGGCAATCCACGTGAAACGAACCCTAAACCCGAAGAAAAAAAACAAGCCCGGAAACCCCTAAACCCTTGCACCCAAAAACCATGAACCCCAAACCCTGGAACTCTATAATCAGACCCCTCTGAAGCTCTTGGCCGCGTGGCCAGCGCACCCAACATCACGTCGGCTTTCAGCTTGATCCTCGGTTTAGGTTGAGGGTTCACGGTTTTTTGGGTTACCTGTATCCCCACACCCTACACAATAGTAGGTTATGACACCTGAATTAGGGGGTAGAAACCTTAAAACAATAGGTTTTTGGATCCGCGGGTAGGGGTTTGAGGGTTTAGGTGAAGTTTTTGAAGCCCTGAGAAGTTTCAAACCGAAGTCGCTAACAGAAATGCCTAAAACACCCGCGAATCACTAAATCCTATACAGCCCGTAATCTATGACTCTGCACCACTGACTCCTGAAAGAAGAGCCCAAAGCCCTGGGACAGAGCCAAGATGTAATAATAGTAAACCTACATGAACCTTGTAAGCCCTCCAGAAGTAAGTCCGAAGCCCTGAACCCGAAACCGAAACCTCTGACTCAGTTTTGAAATAGGGCACTTAAAGGAATCGCTATGATGCACCCGCCTCATACAAGTTGTCCCGGCCCCCCCCCATAAATCCCAAACCCTAACCTCTTTAAATGTTTATTAGGGTTCAGGGGTTTAGGGTTAAGGGTTCAGGTTTCAGAGCTCCGGGTTTCGAAGTGTAGGGCATTTAAAGGCTTAGGGTTTAGGGTTTAGGGCTTTTAGGGTTTAGGGTTTAGGGTTTAGGGTTTAGGGTTTAGGCCCCCAAAGCCCTCGAAGGAAGTCAAGGATCTGCTTCGCAGCGCTCTGCTCCAGGCAAAGGCGGACGGTGTAGGGATGCAGGGCCTGCTTGGGGGATCTGTGGTTAATACATGGTCCCTTAGTAACTAGAACACGGGTTCCTTCCACTATGGGCTATTAGACCCTGAAGATCCCTATTAGGGCCCTATTAAGGGTAGATTAAGGTACCCATAAGGTCTAATAGCCCATAGTGGTTTAAGGCTTCGTAACAGGTTCCTTTAGAGGGTTCTATCAGGTTGTATATACGGGTATACTAATATCGGGGCTTTAATAACTAGAATAAGAATGCAGTGTAGATTTATAAACCAGCCATGGGAAAAATCGGGAACCATAAGGAATACTTATATTGGTAATTATGTCGTCTTACATAGAAGCCCCTAACCTCCAAATGGGAGTTTCCGAAAATACGGGTACCTTATTTGGGGTCCTTGTAATATGGATCCTACGATTTAGGGTACTATATTAGGGTTCCCTATTTCCGGAAACTCCCAAATCCTATCGAACCCAAATTCTACGGTTTGGGTTTGGGGGTTTAGGGTGCAGGGTTTAGGGTTTAGGGGTTCAGGGTTTAGGGCAATGGCAGCACAAGCACGAGATCACACACGGCAGATTATTACTGTATCGGTACTGGGACCTAATGTGAGACGCCTCTTCTCACCGCTCAAGCATTGGCCAAATGTGTTTTCGCAGAATCTCCTCCTCGAAGTCAATCTTCGTCATCTTTGCATCCCACAGCAACTAGGATGCCCAGTAACCTAGGAATAAAAAAGGCCTCTCTTTTTGGTATTGGGTAACTTTATAAGGAACCTAGGACTACAAAAAGGGAATAAGGGTACTACTGGGCATCCTAGTCTTCGTCATCTTTGCATCCCACAGCAATCATCCACTAAGGAGTCGCTGACTGGCCAGGCCGAAGGCAGAGTAATCAACACATTGGTCCCATAGTCGTAGCTGCTTGAGTTTCCCGTTTGGGATGTCTTTATGAGGCTTGGATCATCATCTTCCTCCTCGGGTCAGCATTGCTATCAATGGTCATCACAGCCATGCCGATGCTGGTGATGATTCATGTTGTCGATCGTTTCGTTGCTATTATTCTGACGAGCGTCACTATTTTCGTGGCTATTTTGGTTGTTACACTACTTGATCCCTGGACCCGAAGCCCTAAACTAACTTATATGGGTATCCCTCTTCGAAGCAGATCCAGTAATGAGAATATTTTGCACCTGTGCGAGGGAACCGGCAACTTGGACCCCAAGGTGTTAGGTTTAGGGTTGAGAGTCTAATGTAAGAACCTGATTAAGAAACCTTGTGCCTTTATTGGGGTTCTTTATATGAATCCTATTATTTAGGGGTTATAGGCCCAGGGTTTCTTAATCAGGTTCCTACATTAGGCTAGAGCGCGTAGGGTAGAACGCCTTTAAACTGAAGCGGGGTGTATGAAAGGCTCGTGTCCCGTCAAGGACACACCAACAACACTCTCTTCAATAGGCCTGAGATTCCTCATCGACACATTGAAATCTTCGAAAAACACTTTCCAAGCCCAAGCAACCTAAACCCCTAAACCCCTAAACCCCTAAACCCTAAACCCTAAACCCTAAACCCTAAACCCTACACCCTAAACCCTAAACCCTAAACCCTAAACCCTAAACCCTAAACCCTAAACCCTAAACCCCTAAACCCTACACCCTAAACCCCGGAAATTTCGAGCCCCCCCCGCCCAGAGCAGCCGAAACCTGAGAGCTGCGCCTGGAAGAAGACCCAAAAGCAGCCAAAGAAGGAGAGCTGGTAGAAGCTCACGAAGGCCTGCTTAAAGGCCCAGGGGACTTCGGAGATGCTTTAAGGGGGGTTGCTTTAAAGGCTTTCTGGAAGGGTTCTAACTATAGTACTTTCTGTTCAGGGATGTAGGGTTTGGGTTCCGGGTTTTAGGGTTTAAGGAAAGTTTAGGGTTTAGGGTCTACTTGGAGGCCCAGGGGACCTTCGTAAGTCGGTTTTAAGTAGGGTTATAACTGGCGTAACTCTATTTGGTGTACTTTTCACTCAAAGATTGAGAGCTGGTAGAAGCTCACGAAGGCCTACAACAAGCGCTTAGAGTAAATGAATGGCACAGAGCTTTGGGCGTATAAAGTATATTGGAATCCATTAGGGGTTAAGCGGGTAAATACTGCTAATTATTCAAGTGGTGGTGGTAGTGGTGGTAGATGGCACGGGCGCTCTCTGCCGCAAAGCATGTTTCCACTCAGTATTTAATCCACTTTAGACCCGTGAAGTACTTACAAGATCAAGGGAGGGATCGCCCTGGGTTGCATAAGGTTGTCTTGGGGCTCTACCGGGTGTCCGTTGGGTTTATTATCAGCCGCCTTGGTACACAGGTTACGCTGAGGGTGTGACAAATATCGGGGATTTCCGAAGATAGAGGACCCTAACATAGGACCCTACATGGTAGGATCCTAATTATTCAAAGGACCCCAAAATACGGTACCCCAATTTGCGGAAACTCTGAACCAGAACCCTTATAGATCCCGTTGAGAAACCCTTAAAGGATCCCTTTAAAGGCCCCCATGATCTTCGGAAACTCCCATATCGCGGGGTGCTAACTACTCCGGTTGATGATATAAATCTTGCATGACCTTCAGGACCCTAAACTATGGGAATTATGGTATATTCCTTGTTATGGGTAGTGCAGGATTTATGCCATCAACCGTCCAATTATCAAGGCTATGCTTAGAGGCCCGGGGGACTTAGTAAGTAGGAGTTCCTTAAAGGGCTCCTTAAAGGGATCTTATAGGGTTCCTTAAAGGGATCCATAGGGTTCCTTAAAGGGATCCATGGGGTTGAGGGTTTAGGGTCTACTTGGAGGGGCAGGGGACTTAGTAGATTATAAGTAGAGTTGTAAGTCCCCTAACTGGAGGCACCCCAATTCTAACTCTACTTATAACCGACTTACTAAGTCCCCTGGGCGTCTAAGTGTGTACCCCGCTGCGCGGCTGATCTTGATTCCAAGTTATGTTGGGATTGCATCTACTTGGAGGATCATGGGACTTAGTAAGTAAGGTTATAAGTACCTTAACTGTGGTTAGATACCCTAACTATAACCCTAGTTACTAAGTCCCATGATCCTTTAAGTAGACCCTAAACCATAAACCCTATAGATCCCTTTAAGGAACCCCTATAGATCCCTTTAAAAGAGCCCTTATAGGAACCCTATTTACTAAGTCCCATGATCCTTTAAGTAGACTCAAGGGCTTGGGGCTTCAGAGTCTGACTTAGGCTTGTACATTCCCTAAGGCTCCATGTACCCTTATAATTAGTACATACTTAGGCCTTAAAGTACCTATATAGGGACCCCTTTAAGGCTTAAGTATCTACTATGAAGATACATGGAGCCTTTGGGATTTAAAAGCGAGGGTCGTAGGCGTTCCCGCTGCAAAACAGTCGTAAACTGGATCCGCTTAGGCAAGATAAGGGAACACACAACAAATCGAAAAAGCCTACTTTGCATACTGGGTTTTAGTGTAAGGGCATGGGGTTTAGGGGATTAGGGTTAGGGTCCGGGGCTTCAGGTTTCAGGGCTTGGGGTCTGCGGCTTCGGGGCGGGGTTTAAGCCCCTATAGACACGAAACTAAACCATGCCAGCAGCCCCCGACTACCCTATAAAAAGCTAGAGCCTCAGTATGCCTACGATTAAGGAGCATAATATTAAAGGGTATAGCGGGGAGGGGAGGGGGGGCTGGAGTGGTTCAAACTTTAAGCCTTGAGGGGATGTTCAGGGCAGAAGTTTCCAAGCTTCGGATGTCCGGGTGGGGTACTTGGAGGCTTGGAGGGGCAGGGGACTTAGTAAGTCGGTTATAAGTAGGGTCATAATTGGGGTAACCCCATTCAGGGTACATATAACTCTACTTATAACCTACTTACGAAGTCTCCTGCCCCTCCAAGTAGCCCACAAACTTTCAACCTCTTATAGTGGCCTTCTGAAGGGTACAACAAGGGCGCTGTAGGGGATCCATGGAGATTTCTATAGGATTGGGGGTGTAGGGTGTAGGGTTTTTGATGGTTTAGGGGTAGACTTCAAACTTTCACAATGGAATAGTTGCTGCATCGCGCAAATCGCATGGCGAGGCTTCGAAAGCGCAGGAAAGCAAAGGCGCGTACACGCGCCACGGTCCAGCTACAAAAACACCAATCAGTAACCGCTCATGCTTCTATATTCACCCGAGTGTTAAACCAAAAGCTTCACACCAAACCGTATAGTCCATAAGCGATGATCTTTAAACCCTTAGAATCAGGGCTTGGTGACGGTGCCTCAGCATAGTTCAAACAAGCTGAATTTTTAAACCGCTAATATTAGGGCTTGGTAACGGTGCTTCTGGATAAACCTATAGTCATAGTTCATGAACCTTAATCTTTAAACTTTAAACCCTTAAAGTTAGGGCTTGGTGCTTAAGAAGACCCCAACCATAAATACTGAACCCTAAACTCGAAACCTAAACCCGTAATCCCGAACCCCTGAACCCTACACCTGTTACGGAACACTAAACCCTGAAACCGTAATCCGTAATCCATAATCCCAAAAGATAGGGCTTGGTGACGGTGCTGTTGTACAAAGCCCAGTCATAGGTCATAAGCCCCAATCGATATAGTCATTGTTCATGAAACCTCAATTCTAAACCTCTTGGATCCGCAATCCCGAAACCCTGAACCCTACACCCCTTATTGAACAGTGAAAACCTAAAACCGTAATGCTTATAACCCCTAATCCATAAACTCCCTTAAAGTTAGGGCTTGTTGCTTTAGCCCTGTCTGCCTGGGGAACGTCGCTCCGGAGCGCAGAAAGCCGGGCTCGGAGAATTCCGCCTTTGATGGGTTTGGGGTTCGGGTGTTTAGGGGGTTTCAGGATTTCAAGGGGTTTTAGGGGTCTCGGGGGCTCAGGGTTTAGAGGTTTTGAGGTTCAGGGTTTAAGGGTTAGGGTTCAGGGTAGTCACCTAAGATAGGGCCTATTTTCGGGTTCCTCAAAGGGATCTACAAGGGTTACTATACAGGTTCGTGAGCTCCTTGTTGCATAAGGTTTAGGGTTCAGGGATGGGATGTTTTGGGTTTAAAGCTTCGGGTTGAGGCTTTAGCTTCGGGCTCTTGTTTCGCGAGGTTTGGAGCTTCGGGCAATGTGTAGAGTTTAGGGTTTCGGGTTCAGGGCTTAAGGCTCAGGGCTTTGTAGGGTTTGGGGATGTCGTAGGGTTTAAGGTACAGACCTTTTTGCAAGGTTTAAGCTGTGGTCTCGTCGTATTAAGGTGGATGGATTTGCTGTTAAGGCTCGGTCTTTTGTTCGTTGGTCAGGGTTTGGGCTTGCGGTGGACTCTTTCGGGTTTCGGGCTTAGGGTTTCCTTCATTCGCTTCAAAAGGCTGCTTTTGTGGCTAGAGTTTGCGGTTTTGGGGTTTAGGGGTTCAGGGTTTGCATGGGGTTTAGGGTTTAGGGCTTGTCTGCCAGTGAACTGAATCTCAATCATCTCAACATCAACTGCAAGGGTGCGTGCGTGGCTTGGATTCCAACTGCTTGTGCTCACTTGGCATTTATGGTCCGTAGCTGAACGTTTCACGACGCAATAAATATTAGACTACCAAACTTGGGGCTTGCGGTTTACGGCGAAAGCTTATGTCGTTTAGGTTTCATTGCGTACGGTGTATAGAGCTCTGCGTGTTGGTTCAAAGAAACGATCCGAATCGGAGCTCTATGGAACAAGGTGCAGCTGGAGGTGGCGAGGTCATTCTGAACCCACCCGCGTTTGTTGATCAGATGCATCCGCAACCTCAGAGTTGAGAGGGGAAGGTAATCTGGAGTCTTATGCTATGTGTGGGTTGCAGAAACGCATCATGGTGTGGACTTTGGTGTTCAGAACCATCCCTGAAGCCGCCACCCGAGAATCCTCGCTAAACTTTTTGCGCTCCTGTACGGAGAAATAGTACCCACATAATGTTCTGGTTGCCATTTCCTTTACTTTGCAGCTGTGCTCGGCCGCTGGGAACAAATGGCATGAAGCAAAACCTCCAAAAATTGACAAGGGGAGAACGACATGCCTGAACCTACTTGTCCGGCTCTGGAGGGTGGGGTTTGGGGTGTAGGGGCTACGGGCTACCACAAAGATGACTAAACATTTAACTGCTACGTAAACTGACAAACTTGGATTCAATTCTTCATTGCACGGATAACTGCCAGCCCTCCACCCGAGGTCCCAATGACAGTGCTACACGCATGAAAACAGAACGCAAGGCGCAAGAGGGTCTCAGGGTTCAGTGCGAGCACGAACCAAGGAAGAATTTGACATACATCACGTGCCTGATCCCTACGCATATCATGCCCACTGGGGAGACCAAAACATGCGTGCAGCACGGCACCACTTCCATAACCAGGTTGGACCTTAAACACCCCTGAAAACACGTTCGCAAATCAGATCCTCTAAAGCCCAACACGGGGCAATAGAATATACTTTCACAAATGCCTGGCTAGATAAAGTACATGGTCCGGGCCTGTATCTACAGATACGTCTCAGATCCCAGCACTCGCCTGCTACAACGCGTACTCCGCGTCTCTCGCACTTCTTCCCCATAGTGACGACTTTGCCGGTAATACCAATGCATGGGATTTGGGCTGAGGGTGTCGGGTCAACGTTTTTTTCATTTTGGGTTCGGGTTTGGTGGAAGGGTTTAGGGCTTGAAGGCTCTAGGCTTCGGTGTTGGGATCATGGTGCTGGGGCCTGAGTGATATTCGTGTAGGATTTAGGCTTAAGGTTCAAAGCTAAGGATTTACGATTTAGGATTTAGGCTTGAAGCTTAGGGTCTGGAGTGTCGGGTTTAGGGTTACTTTTCTTATTCTGACTTCTGAACCCCTCCTAAAAGTTAAACTTTTAGCCTCCTTATTGTAGTTCATATAGGAAACCCGAAAAGTTAAAGTCCTAAGAGCCAACCAGAAGAACACCAAGTTTTAGGCTTTGGAGTTACGGGTTTAAGGTTCCCTGAAGCCCTCCCTAAGGGTCCAAAGGACCCAATAATTAGGTACTTAGGCTTCGGATAGTAATTATGTAGGTTACTATTTTGGAGAGTATATGAGAATTGGGTACTTGGACCTTTAGGGCCTGACGGGCTCTTAAGAGCTTGACACCTCCTCAGAAGTTTGGGGAAGCCATGCAGGCAACTCCCTGCTTTCAGATACACTTGCAGGGTCAGTGAAGTTTAAGGTTTATGGGGGAAGGGTCTAAGGTTTAGGGTTTGGAGGTTTGGGGCTAAGGGCATGAGGTTGAGGGCTCAGGGTTTGGGATTCCCTTTTAGGGTCTGTCCGGGGTCTATCCGACAAGTTTATCCTATGCTGCAATCCCTGACCATGCTCAATATGCTCCACATTGGTGTGAGTCGGACTGGCAGGTGCCATTGAACCCCATCTTGCAACTGAAACCCACAAGTTCAAATCATACAAGACACCCCTACACCAAATGCACTGAAGCTTCCAAAGAGAAAGGCAGCACGAAAGCCCCGGACCCTCAACCTTTGTACGCCCCGGACCCGACAACAAGACCTGAACCCTGGGCTGCGCACTCCTAAACCCTAAACGTGTTTTGGGTTCAGGGCTTATAGGGGTTTATGTCGAAACATGCACTAGTAAAATGGTAACCTATATACGAAGTTGAGCACTCACAAAGACAAGGATACTTCGGATGCTATCCCTAATAATTCCGAGCACTCCACGCCAAGACCCGACAACCCTGATGTCGCACCCTTCAACTCCACACCCATGTAGAGCTTTTACAGAACCCGATAAAGCAATAATACTACAAGCTACTAACTCTTTTTAGAGCCATTACAATACCCTGGCAACTAGCAGCCTCACTATAGCCATAAACATATGGGGGTTTCCGAAAATAGCGGACCCTAATGTAGTACCCTAAATAGTAGGATCCCTTATATAAGGACCCCCCAATTTTCGGAAACTCGCATGTTTTTCATAAGCTCCTGAACCTCACCCCCAAAACGATCCTGAGTCCAACTCAATTTAGAGGGCCTGAAGAAGCAAAACGTGTTTTGGATAGGGTGTCATTCTCCACCCTACGGGTCCACGTATCCCTATACAAATAGTATATACTTTGGCCCCAAAGTTTGTATTGCCACAATATATACTGTTTGGGTTTCTGGACCCTTGGGGTAACGGGATACTCTAACCCTTGGTTTCCTTGGCCTCCAAAATGGATTAGGCCAAGGAAGTTTAGGGTTTAGGGGTTTGGTTTAGGGTTTCGGGTTTAAGGCCGCAGCCCTTTGGATAGCTAATGAGCCCCTATAATCACCCTCCAAACCCCAAACCCCACCAAAAAAGCTGTAAACCCCTATGCTAAAGCCCTAAACTCGACAAAAACCGTGTAAACCCTAAACCCTACCCTGTTCAGATCCTTTACTCGACGGAACCCCAAATCATCCTAAACCCTGCTGAAACCTTCTGAACCCTAGTTCACTCGGTTTAGGGTTTAGGGTCTACCTATAGTCTCCATTGCAGTTCCCTCTTAGGGTTACCTTGTAGGATCCCAATTATATCTCTGGCTACACCCAAAAAAAGGAACTACAATGGAGAGTTTACTTGGAGGGGCAGGGGACTTAGTAAGTATGTTAAAAGTAGAGTTATAAGTCCCCCTAAATGGAGTTACCCCAATTATAACCCGACTTATAACCGACTTACTAAGTCCCCTGCCCCCAAGTAGGGTTTAGGGTCCAGAAATGCAGCCGAGTACGTGGAGACGGCGAGGCCGCTACGCACGGCCAGCAGTGAATGCAAGCCAAGCCTTTCTCTGAAACCCTAAAGGGTCCATGTACCCAAATAGTAGGGTTTTAGCTCCCAAAATCCATACTCTGAATGGTTTCTGGGACCTAAAACCATACAGCTTGGGGACCCTCTAGGTTTCAGAACCCTAAGGGTCCATGTACCCATAAATGATATAGGGGCCTTAATGATTAGACTAAGGTTCCCTTAAAGGGATCCGTAAAGGTATCCATGGTACGGTTCGGTTCTATTACCCTAAGGGTCCATGTACCCATATGGAGATACATGGGCCGCAATGTACCTGTATATGGACTACATTAAGGCCAATGTATATGCTATATGAGCACATGGACCCTTAGGGGAAAGGAATTGGGGATTAAAAAGAGGGTTCCTTTAAGGGATCCGCTAAAGGCTCCTTTCGGGGATGCTGTGAATGATCTTGCAAGAGATCTATACGTGTTTAGGGGGTTTGGGCGGGAGGTGCTTTTTTGTAGGGATTGGGGTTTAGGGTGCCTTAAGCGTACAGGGTGTCCTAAACATGTCCTGGTCTGTTAAGAGGTGTTATACGGTTTGAGGCACAGGCATAGGTTTAGGATTTTAGCGGGCGGGGGCGGGGCCCCGTCTGTGTTGAAATAAATTTCGGAGGTGTCAGAGCTTTTGCGGTGGCCTAGGGTGTTTATCGGATGTTCTGGTTCGGCTTTAGGGCTTTCTTCGACACGCTGCACCGGAGAGTTAAGAAATGCTGAGGGCTTCTGGGTTTCGGGTGTTGAGGATATGATAGTTAAAGGTGTTGCTTGTTTCTTGTGGTCGATTCAACCCTAAAACCCCAAACCTAAGCCATTTTGTGGGGCCTGTGCAGACTTTGCGGTTTGCAGATACGTTTCCGGACTGCAGGTGGAGTCGCGGCTTTAAAGAATCCAGAGATCCAACGCCCCTGAACCTGTTGCGTTGAAGGTTTAGGGTTTCGGGGTTTTGAGGCTTAGTTTGCTGTGTTGTAAGCTGCATAGTAGGCACTTAGGCCTTGAAGTACCTATACAGGGACCCCTTTAAGGCCTAAGTACCCAGAGACTCGAATATCCCTTAATTAAGGAATATTCCTTAAATCATACTAGGGATCCTACTATAATTTAAGGAATATTCCTTAATTAAGGGATATTGGAGTCTCTGGGTACCTCCTATATGGGCACATGGAGTCTTGGGGAGGGACTACGGGCTTCTAGGGTTGAGGCTTAAGCTTCCTATGACTGGCATACCCGGCGGGCGACCCGAACATAAAGAGCGGTTTAGGGTTTAGGGTACATGAATCGGATAATGCCCCCCGTGAAGGTAGCGGTTTATGATAAGGGTCTCATTAAGGGCCACATTTTCTATACTATTCTACGTATGTAGATTTGAATCGACTCAGGGGGGCATTATCCAAAACATACCAATGAGATAAAGCTTGCTACAGACACACCCCAAAACCCTATAACACTCGTGTTGAGACACCCGACAACACACTACAGAAGACAACCCGAGGAAACCTTACGTCCGTATGCGAAGCACTGTAGCACTTATGCAAGCCGTGCTGCATAGCAGTCTCGGTTTGAAGCTTGATAACGTCTCTGTAAGCCAGCTTTTTAAAACTAGGTGGGGCGTTTAAAGCCTTTGAAAATGTTGGTAAGTAAGATCCTCTTAGCCCAATAAGGGAAAATACAAAATGTCCCAAAGCCCTACCTAGAAAACCTTTAACTTCTCTGCTTGGGCTTTTCAGAACTTGGAGCAGCCAGACTAAAGATTCCCAGTGTTTGGGTTCTGAATGTGATCCCGTAGGTTAGAGGTATGTCGGGTTTAGGGTTTACAGGGAACCCGGGCCGCCATATAGCCGAGCAGCAAGGAGACATATAGAAACATGCTCTCGCCAACGTCGTTCGTTCTTAACCACCTCAGTTTAGAGTTTAGGGTTCAGTGGATTCCACGTTCACCATTCACCCGTTAAGCGCAAACGAAGACTTTCCTAATTGTCAGCTTCTTGAACGGAGATCCCAAAAGGAAGACTAACACCCCTCTGTGCTACTAGTCGGTTGATGGTAAAGAGGCCTGAAGATACAGAATGAAGCTACTTCTGAAAGATCGAGATATGCTTTCACTTCAAATGCACGAGAGTGTATGTGAGGGCTGTCGTGCTTCGTCTGCTACACAGCCCTGACCGGCAATGGAGATTGCCACTAGTTGCTGAGTTCATAAGCCCTGTACACTTTCAGTTTCATAGTGGGTCATATGATCCCAAAAAGTGTAAAGAGTATCCACTCAGCTACTAGGTTGCCACCAGTTACGATGTTGAGGGCACCCTGGACTTGAGGACGGGAATCCTTGTGAGGCAGTGAGACCGCAAACCCTGAACAATCAACCTCTACCGTAAGGATCCAAAGGACCCAGTAATTCGGTACTTAGGTTTTGGATTGTAGGGTTTAGGGGTTTAGGGTTTAGGGTTTGGGGCTTAAGGGTTTAGGGTCTACTTAGAGGCCCAGGGGACTTAGTAAGTAGGTTATAAGCCATAGCTCTCGGCCCCGGGTCGCATTAGGCTCAAACAACCAGGATCTACGTGGGAGTTTCCGAAAACTAGGGGTACCTTATTCTGGGGTCCTTGTACTAAGGATCCTACTGTTTAGGCTGCTATATCAGGGTTAAGAGCACTTATGTGGGAGTTTCCGGAAATGGGGGACCCTAATATAGTACCCCAAATGCTAGGATCCCTACTGTAAGGACCGCACAGTGAGAAACCCTCATTTTCGGAAACTCCCATCATATGGGTTATTACACTGCAAGTATAATGAGAAACATGTGTGATAGTAATATTAATTAATGTAGGAACCTGATTAAGAAACCCTGGGCCTATGACACCCCCAAAATAGTAGCATCCATGTAGGGAACCCTCATAAAGGCCCAAGGTTTCCTAATCAGGTTCCCACATTATTCAGGGCCCAATATGACGCTTATGATCATCATCGACCCGAAAAGCCAGATTGCCCTGTTTTGTTTTAAGTTTAGGGTTTAGGGTCTGAGGGGTTTAGGGTTTAGGGGTTTGGGGTTTAGGGCACTATCTGCTATAACGAACTTAGACCCCTAGCAAAATCCATAGTTTTAGCTGTTTCTTACGGATTATAAAAACCAAAGATTAAACAAATATTTCTAACTTCCCCTAAGTCCGGTGCATCGGATGAAAGGCTACGATGCCCAGTAACCTAGGAATCGAAAGGGCTCCCTTTCCGGTATTGGGTACCTTTATTTATAAATTCAATTCATTTAAATAAATGTATTGAATTTACTTCATTTATTTAAGTTATTTCTAAGGAACCCAAGACTACAAAAAGGGAATACGGGTACTACTGGGCATCCTAGATAGGAGTATACCCAGAACTGAAGGCTTTAGGGTCGAAGGGGTTTGGGGATTCATAGGGCTTAGGGCTTAGGGATTTGTAGGATTTCGGGCTTAGGGCTTAGGGATTTATAGGATTTAGGGCCCAAAGTTTAGGGATTTATAGGACTTAGGGTTCAGGGTTTAGGGATTAACAGGATTTAGGGTTTAGGGTTTAAGGATTCAATAAGGTCCTACGGTTGATCATATAAATCCTGCATTACCCATAATAAGGAATATACCATAATTCCCATAGTTTAGGGTCCTTAAGGCAATGCAGGATTTATATCATCAACCTTCAACCCTGAAATCTAGACCCTATAGATCCCTTAACAGGAAGCCCTTAAAGGTACCCCTATAGATCCCTTTAAAGGAGCCCTAGGGATTTATATCATCAACCGTAGAAGATAGTCAGACCCGAGGGGGTCCCGGGATGCAAGATTTGCCCACAGCTGAAGCCCTCAAAACCGCTGGCCCTGCGCACATCGCAACTCACCCTAAACCCTGTACCCTAAACCCTTAAAAGGAAAACCCTAAACCCTAAACCCTCAAAGCTAAACCCTGAACCCTGAACCCTAAACCTACATCCTAAACCCTAAACACTGAATCCTAAACCCTAAACACTGTCGAGCAGCCGGAACCCTCTCACAGCCCGTCGTCTTGAGCAGAGGCTGCAGATGCTCATACAAAGGCCCCTGCAGTAGTCCATGCCTTCCAGACAGGGCTGACGGCCCATGTTCCCAAATAGTATATACTTTGGGCCCAATGTACCTATATTAGGGGAGTACTTTAAGGCCAAAGTATAGACTATTTGGGGACATGGACCCTTAGGACAAGGCTAAGGGCTTTGATGAGTTACCAAACCCTAAACACTCAAACTTTGAACCCTAAACCCCCAATCCCCCACCACTAAATGCCTAGGCCCCAAACCCTTATAAACCCTAAACGCTTTAGCTCAGGGTTTAGGGGTCTAGGGTTTAAGTAGGGGTTTGGAGGTTTGGGGCTCAGAGATGCTCACCGGCCGGTTCCAAGAAGAATGACTTGTGACCCGTTGCAAGCCCAAAGGGTCCAATGTACCTTTATAGTAGAATGTAGGGTTTCTATAATAGGAATTACTATTATGCCTTGGGGACGTATCTCCCATAACAATACATCGGACCCTTTGGGAAGTTTAGAATCGTTGACGTTCTGCCAATGGAGAGGGCGCTTCCTGTGCGTAATCCTCGGTTCCACCCTCATCACCTGACACCTTCTTGACGCTATGATGTCATGTAACTTGTCGCTGCTCATGTGAACTATCTGCGTCCTGGCAACATCATCACAACCACCCGGACCTCCCTCACCATAGTATGACTGCAGTTTTGCCGCAACATCCTATTCAGTAACATTTCACCATCATCCGTATATGACGATATCACCGGAGCCACTGGCATCATCACAATTGTCATTCAGGAAGACATTTAGTTATGTCGTCATTGCTGCCATCGTGGCACTGTCATCCCCGTGCTCTATGTTGCAACCATACAGTCACAAGGGCAGTCGTGGCCCGCATCACGCTTATAGTGATGACATGAATGTCTAAGATATCACCACAAGAAAAGAATGCCAGGCTCGATGCACAGCCACCACTGATAAGCCTAAATGCCCGTAGAACTGTGACGCCTGGACCGATGCCAGGGACGGATACCCGACGGATACATTCATTGCCAAGGAGACGAAAAGCACCCGATAACGCACTCTAAGGAATCTTGATAGAAAATATGACAGAATCCGTTTATAAACTATATGGCAGTTCGTGTAGCAGTCCTTGATGACCCTTGAAGACCCCGTATAGAACCCGTGTAGTAGCCCTGAAAATGTTCCTTGTAGAACCCTTGAGGAACCAGTATTGTAACAAAGGCTTCGATCCAAGTAATTAAGGTTGCGACTTGCTGCCTTGCTCCAAAATTGTTTACCCAAAGGCGCCATGTATCTTCATAGTAGATACTTAAGCCCTAAAGGGGTCCCTATATAGGTACTTCAAGGCCTAAGTGTATACTATAAGGGTACATGGAGCCTTAGGGTTACTTATGAAAAGGAATACACTTGAAACCTTCGCACTGCGAATCCCGAGTACTGTACGACTTATGCGCTGGGGCTTAGTGTTGTAGATCAGTGCCTTTTTCGAAGGGGCTGTATGACTCTTAGGTATGCTAATTCGTGGTTGATGGCTGTTCTGGTAAACCCTAAACCCCTAAACCCTAAGCCTTAACCCTAAACCGCTAAACCCTATCAACCCTAAACCGGGCCTATCGGCACGCGGTGTGAAGGAGGGACTTTCATAATGAAGTTGTGGTCCGTCCAATCGGTCTCCTCGGAAGAAACTATGGAGCCTCCAATACTAACGGGGATTGATTTTAAGGGCAAGTACAAGGACTGTATATGGGCGTTTGTTGGGGCAGCTTCGACAATTAGGGTTTACGGCGTTTCGGATTCTGGGGTTTCGGTTTTTATACATTGAGGCCCAGGGCGCTCAGGTAATAGATCAACCGAAGTCCTACAACCCTGGAACGCCAACTCCTGGTTTAAGGAGCAGGGTTTACGGCTTACCACTACAAACTCTAGACTCTAAACCCCTAAACCGCTTAACACTATGAACCTAAAACCCTAACACTTCAGGGTTTGGGCGTTTGGAGATTAAGGATTAGGGAGGTTTAGGCATTATGGGGTTTTAAAGGGTTTAGGGTGTACCACTACATCCTAAACCCTCTCTCCGAAACCGTGCCATGAAAACGAAGTCGTAAACGAACTAAACCGTGAACTCTGCCAGATGCCTTCTGGAGCCTTGAAGGGACACCCAAAAACGCTGAACCCTTCTAGATCCCGACCCATGGAACCACCGAAACCCTAAACGAAAATCTTACAATCCAAAGCCCGAGCCCCCCAAAAAAACCCTTAAGCCCCAAACCCTAAAGCCCCTAAAGTTGAAGCCAGAAAGTTGGAACATCAGTTTAGGAGGATTGGTGCTAGGATCCCTAATACTTTACCTTGAGGGCATGAGGATCACTATGTTCCAAGTTTCTGGCTTCTACTCTAAACCCTAAACCCCCCAAAAAGGCCAAACCCCCGGGGAATAAGGAGCGAGTCCTGCAAGTAAAGCAGGTCCCGGCGCCAGGCGAAGACCTCGGCTTACAAGGATTTCTAGGCAGGGTTGGGTTCCTTTAAGGGTTCCTTTAAAGGGTTCCTTTAAGGTGCAGATTCCTTTAAGGGTTCCTTTAAGGGTTCCTTTAACCCTTAGGCTCTAAGGACTCACATTTTAAGGCTTTTGGGCCCAAAGACCATACTACATAAGGCTTTTGGGCTATTTTGAGCCTTAGGGTAAGGGTTCCTTTAATGGCTCCTTCAAGGCAGTTTTGGGGTTCATATAGCTGGATTCCTGAGTAGCCCCTTTACAATAAGGGTACCGTTTTTCCTACTATTCGGATTGAATAAGGAGACCCTGAAATAAGAAGGGCAAACATGTACTACTCAGGAACCTAGTCAGTTTTTCAGGGATCACCTAGGATAATAGAGCCACCCAAAATCGCATGATTTGGGGCCCCTACAGGGGTTGAGCAGGGATTGAAATGAGGATGCTTTTCCCTAATTCTTCACATCTCCACATTTCGTATCCATATTCCATGACCTCCCGAAACGCAACCAACAAAGCCTGACAATCCCACTACAAAAAGATAACCACTGCCAGGGCACCATCAGCGACAGCCAAAAAACCTGGCTGGCCGGTGGAGCATTCGGCTATCTCTCTGTTTATGGTTTCGGGTTTTGTGGTCAAGAGTTTAGATGTTAAGGGCTTCGGGTTTGGGCTTTTAGGGTTTGGGATTGAAGGGGTTTCGGGATTTGGGTTTTCAGGGTTAAGGTGCTCGGATGTAGAGTACAAGTAAAGGGCATAGGACGCAGGTCGGCATGACAGGAAACCCCAAACCCTACTTAGAGGCCCAGGAAACTTAGTACGTCGGAGTTATATGTGGGGTTCAGAAATGCGCCAACTCCATCTAGGGTACGTGCAAGCCTATTTATATCCTACTAAGTTCCCTAAACGCTAAGGGTCTTGTTATATTCTCACCTAAGGGTCATGTACCCAAATAGTATATACTTGAGGCTTAGAGTACTCCCCATATAGGTACAGTGGGCCCAAAGTATATACTATTTGGGTACACGGACCCGGACCCTTAGGGCTTGCAAGGATCCGGAGTCACCTTAGCGGAGTCCTGGGGCCTTTTGGGGGGTCTCCGAAGTTCCAGAGTTGCGGGTTCCCAGATGCATGAGGACCCTTTAGTAATTCAGGGTAAACCCCAGTACTATGGGGTTTTGTATAGCCCTAAGGGTCCCTTAAAAGGACCCAATAATGAGGTACTTAGGTTTTGGATAGTCGTTATGTGGGGTACATACTGTTTTTGAGAGTAGATGATAATCTAGGATACCCAGTAACCTAAGAACAAAAAGGCCTCTCTTTTTGGTATTGGGTAACTTTATAAGGGACCTAGGACTACAAAAAAAGAATAAGGGTACTACTGGGCATCCTAGGTCCTAGGCACTTGGACCCTTAGGGTTCTTATCACCATCAGGCCAGAGGGGCCTCAGCGCCTGAAGCCTAAAGAGTGAAAGTAACCTGTGACCCCAAACCCTACAAAATAGTAGGTTATGACCCCTTAATTAGAGGGTCTAACCCTAAAAACGGTAGGTTTTTGGATCCACAGGAAACCCTTATATAACCTTTAAAGGAGCCCCTACATCCTAAGCCATATCCCTAAAGTAACCCCTAAAGGCATGCCTGGTCCATCTACTTGCTGTTCACTCTGTATTACTCACTGGCCCAAAAACCCAAGGGAAAAAACGGTTGAAGCTTTCAGAACCGACTACCTTATAAGAAGCCCCAAAAGTTCAAAAGTTGAGTTTACAGCCAGCAAGAATTGGTGTTGTGCCCCGGTTGAGACAATGACTGTCCAGACTGAAAGTCGTTGATGTCGTTGTGTTTGCAGTGGTGGCAATCGCTGCTGCCATGGTGATTCTTGCTGCTACACTGGTGTTCTGACGATTGTGCGTATAGGGACTCAGACAAAACATCTCTGGATTGAGAGCTCCTTCTCCGGTATAGGGTCTGAGTCGGGCATGTGAACACATGCCGATGTTGAAGGATTGACGGGGCAAAGGATAAGCTAACGACCTGATGATGCTGATTCTGCTGAGGATGATGAGGACGATGACTCTGACGATGACCTGTTTGCTTTAACACTGAACCCTGAACCCTTCTCTGGAGTACCGTGAAGGCCTAGTCTCCCTAGACGAGCCCTGATAGGAGCCCTTAAAGGAGCCCCTGAAGGAGCCTTACAGGAGATCGTAAAGGAGCCTCTATGAAGGTTGTTCATGTTTGTGACTATAATATCAGCGCTCATATGGCGGTTTCTCAAAACCGCGGTGGTCTTTAAACAAGAAGGGAATTATGACAAGAATCCTGGTACTTAGGGTCTGGATCAGGGTCCCCTGTTTTGTCAATCTCACATATCGAGTATACGAGCCCACCAGAAAAGGTAAAGTCAAAGGTGACTTACTAGACCACCAGGAACCGACAAACCGGATCCAAAAGCAACTTCTAAACCATGCTACTAGCTGAGTGGTTATCAAAATTCTGGTCCCTTTTTTGGGTCCTCAATAGAATACGGTACCGAGAATTAAGGGTACTACAAAAAGGGACCATAGAATTGACAGCTACCCATTTGGAGGTCTATCCCTAAGGCTCCAAAGGACCCAATAATAAGGTACTTAGATTTAGGATAGTAGTTATGTAGGTTACTGGCTTTGAGAGTATATGATAATGAGGCACTTGGACTCTTAGGGTATGATGAGGCTGCTCGATTTTGCTGAACCTGACGTTGTCGGCCCACAGGCAATCACAGCGTAGAGCCAAGAGGCACTCAACCCTAAACCCTAAGTCCCTCCTAAACCCTGAAATCCCTAAACCCTAAAAACCCTAAGCCCTAAATCCGAACACCCTCCTAAACCCCCAACCCTAAACCCTAAATCCCTCAACCCTTTTTTGGCTCAGGAGCCATCACGGCGTAGAGCAGAATCGCAGAAGGCTTGTCGGTCCACTCTACTGCCGAGGCCATCTCTAATCCGGCTGCCGACAAGACCTGTGCTGGTTTGGGGATTTTAGAAACTAGGATACCCAGTAACCTAAGAAAAAAAAGGCCTCTCTTTTTGGTATTGGGTAACTTTATAAGGAACCTAGGACTACAAAAAGGGAATAAGGGTACTACTGGGCATCCTAGGAAATTTAGAGCTTCGGGTCTGGGTTTACGGCGGAGGGTCTGGGTTTAAGGCTTAGGGTCTGGATTTAGGGCTGAGGGCTCAGGGTTTAGGGCTTCGGATTCGGGTGATTTTTCCGGGTTAAGGGCTTTTTTACCTCATGACAGCGGACTAAGGCCCTTGAGCTTTTTCTAAGTGCACCGAACCCTTTCTCATAGGGATCCTCTTAGGGGTGTAGGGGGAGGGGGGGTAGGGGGCCTTAAGGCCCATAATAAGGACTGATAAGGCCTATTTAAGGAAATATAGTCCCCTACACCCCTCCCCCCTACACCCCTAAGGATCCCTATGACTTTCTCCACTTGCCACGAGGGCTTAGGGTTTAGGGCTTAGAGTTTAGGGTGTTAGGGATGGGAATCCCAAGCCGTAAACCCTGAACTCGAAACTAGATCCTACCTATAGTCTCCATTGTAGTTCCTTTTTTCGGTTAACCAAAATCTCTATTATTATAGGGTCCTAACCATAAAACTGGTTAACCAAAAGAAGGAACTACAATGGAGACTCTAGGTAAACCCCAAGCAATATGCGCAAACCCTGAGCGAGGTATGCTTGGCTACTTTGTGGGTTCTTCGGCAGGCGGCCCTCTACATAGGAAGACGAAGAAACTGGAGCTTTACCAAACCGGTTCTACCATAAGGGGCTATTCCGTCACTCGCTGCAGGTGCCCTTTTGTGCCCTGCAGTCAGTAAACTTTAGGGGTTTGGGGTGGATCTCAAAGTCCCACTTCCCCTCAGCTCGCCCGCTTGCCTGGATGTTCAGACACTCAAGCTGCCGTAGAATGGCGCTAAAGATGGACAAATGCCTCAGGTTTTTAGGGCTTTAGGGGTGAGGCTTTGGGTCTACAGGGTTAGGTGTTTCGGGTTTGGGGTGTAAGAGTGTAAGGCTTGGGCTTAGGGTGAAAGACTTGGGGTTGAGAGGGATCTGTTGGGGTGTTAAGTTGTGCGGCGAGCACTCCCCAAAAACTCAAATCCTAGAGATTCTGGATCTGTAGGGCTCTTTGAAGGGCTCCTTAAAGGGATCCCTAAAGGGTTCCTTAAAGGGCTCCTTAAAGGGATCAATAATTGAGGGTCGGGGGACTTAGTAACTAGACATTTTTGCTAGGTCGAGTTTCTACTACGAGCTTGGCGACTGTAGGCTTGTCGGGATAACAGTAGCTAATGAAAACTAGGATACCCAGTAACCTAAGAAAAAAAAGGCCTCTCTTTTTGGTATTGGGTAACTTTATAAGGAACCTAGGACTACAAAAAGGGAATAAGGGTACTACTGGGCATCCTAGAAAACCTCGCCACAAGGCCCTTCCCGGTTGCAGACGCCTAAGCAACAGCAAAAAGAAACGGAGTCCCTCCACCTGGACTGCATGAATATGAATATGCCCCATCTTTACACCAGCCTGGAAACCCAAAACAATTGCCTAAACCATTCGGGAAATCATGAAGCATAAACCCTAAACCTAAATCCTAAGCCACAAGCCTGAACTCTTACTACTAAACAAGTCAAAGCCAAAATGCGTGGTGGAACAGACGAGGCCAGTACCTCCTGAGACGCAAAGGACGAGCTTCAAGGCACTGAAAGGATCAGGAGACTTAGCCGGGGCTAATACACCCCAAACCCTAAACCCTAAACCCATGAGGTTCCTTAAAGGGCTCTATGACGGGAACTCTAAGGGATCTATAGGCTTTCTAGGGTTTGGGGTGTGGGGCTCAACGGTTTCAGGTTTTGGGCTTAGGGTTTAGGGTCACGGTTTAGATTCTAGGGTGTCGCGTCTTAGGGTTGGGAAAGGAAGGTCCAGGTAAAGTTTCAGGTACCCAAAACTCATTCAGAGTATACAATTCGAGCTCTTGCACCCTTTGAGTTACTAAGTAGATGTAAGAAACCTATCTTCAGCGGAAAATTTTCGACTGGGGCTATCCGAACTATAGTCACGGTCCAGCCGACTAGCGATTAAGATTTGGAGTCCCGGAACCCTGCAGAACTCTGTAAAGACCGTCCTACCCAAGAGAGGATAAAGGTTGCTTAAGTCTACAGATCTAAAGTTTGGGGAGGATCTACGGACTTCGTAGTGTTTCAGGATTGGCTGCTGTCAGGGTAGCTTGGCATGTACTTCCATAGATGCGGTTGTACATGGGCCAGCAACTCATTATGGACGCTTGAAATCTCGGATATCGTCTTCCCCTAAGGGTCCAAGGACCCCAATAGTTGGATTTTGGGTCCGCTAATGCCTGCTATACGCTGAATGATGGTTAGCACCTAACACTCTACTATTTGGGTATTTGGGCCTCTAGCTCAACAAGCCGCCAAACACACCCTAAAGCCTGAGCCCTTCTTGCTGCCCACACCCTGAAACCCAGACTCTCCGTCGAGGGTCATACCCTACCCCTGTTTTAGCGTACATCGTTTTGTGGTTAAGATCTGGTGATTGCGTAAAAAAGGGGTTGGGGATGGCCGAGAGATACTTCCTACACCATAGGCCAGGAACAAAGGTCGAAGCCTAAGCTAAAGCTCTCAGCCCCGCACACAGCCCAAAACCCAAAACCTTGCACCAAAACCCTGAATGTCATCACACTCAAACACACCTTAAAGCCTCAACCTTAAACCCCATTAAAAACGTCGAATAAGCTACACGCAGGAATGAACTCCGAGTCATAACACAGGCTACTCCATAGTTTGACCTAACTCTCGAACACCATTGCCCTACAGTATTACATGCATCGCTCTTGGCATGCATCACCCTGGGCACTGTACACACACTGACATAGACCACTGCATTCTGAAGCCTGAACCTTAAACCCTGAACACCTAACCCTTCCCGCACCTTCGTAGAACCTTTCTAGGAAATATGCAGAACTCTTACTAACAGTTACTAACACCGTATACACCACAAAACCCATGAGTTAGTAATCCATCAATAACAGATCATCAGCAACAAACAGGCATACCCCATTCCCCTTACGCCCAAAGCCCTGCACCCAAAACAACAAACGCTACAGCAGACCCTAACCCTGAAACCTATAAGTACCTCCCTTCACCAACAAATCTAAAAGCCGATGCCTGGATCGCGCTGCCGGTTGCAACAAAATCCAAAACTAAACCCTCAAACCCGAACCCTAGACCCTAAGGCTCCAAAGGACCCAATAATTAGGTACTTAGGGTTCGGATAGTAGTTACGTAGGTTACTGTTTTTGAGAGAAGATGACAACTAGGTACCTGGACCCTTAAGGCTAGACCCTAAACCCTAAACCCAACTGCGTCTCCTTGGACCGTCGTTAAGCCGGCTGTGGACCACTGCTGCTCCGTCTCGTTCCAGAAGACACATTCCTGAGATCTGGGGGCTCTTGGGGTGAATAGGGTTTACAGTAGAAGCCTAAAAGTTGGAAACCCGATAGCCTCAATCCCTAAGAGTAAAGTATAGGGAATCCCAGCACTACTTGTCCTTAACTAGGTTTCCAACTTTTTGGAGTTTGCTGTATACGTAACTGCTTATGGCCTAGGGCTTGGGGTCTAGGGTTTAAGGATAAAGGCTTAGTTTAGGGTTTCGGGTTTAGAGATTATTATGGTTTGGGTTTTTGATACAACAATCTGTTTTTCGGTTTGGGATTAGGCAAGGGTTCAGGGGCTCGGGGGATGTCCCCAATCACGTGGTTGGGTGGTGCGCTCTCGGAATTAGGCTGACAACGTCTCGGCTTTGTCAAGGTCTGCATGAAAGTCGGTTTAGGGCTTAGGATTCCACTACTTAGGGTACTATATTTGGGTCCCCTATGGTTTAGGGTTCAGGGCTGCTTGCTGCCCTTCTTCTTCGATGTCCGCTTCGTAGCTTCGTAGCAAAGACCACCGAGGACCTGTCCGTTTTGGGAAAGACGTAAAGCATGCGGCCGTCACTCTTGCCATCCTTCCCGTTGCCGATGAAGAGGAGCACGCTGGTGGGAACCACCCAGAGACTCCAATATCCCTTAGTTAAGGAATATTCCTTAAATCATATTAGGGATCCTACTGTAATTTAAGGAATATTCCTTAATCAAGGGATATTGGAGTCTCTGGGCACTTTCTCGTGTCCAGTGTTCCTTCCTGGTTCGGCTTCAAGAGCCACATGTGCGGCGGCACCCCAAGGTCATGTTCGTGCCGGGGAACCCTAAAACCCAAACCCTAACCATAAACCCCAAACTCTAAAGCCATGTTCGTGCCCGCGGATGTTCAGTGCCATCATGCTGGCCATCATCTGTGGCTGCGGGGGCGGCACAATGTAAGGGGTTTCGGGGTTGGGGGACTGGGAATTAAGGGTGCAGGCTTGATAGGCTTTACTCGAAACCCTAAAACCGTGCTCTACCTGGAGGTTCATACCCGATTCATACCCTACCCCTTTTTGAGGGTATCTACTTTTCTATATTACAGATCCTAACCATAAAACTAGGTATCCTAAAAAAAAGTGGTAGGGTATGAGCCTCTAGGTAGGCTAGGGTTGAAAAGAGTTGAGGGTTGAGGGCCGAAAGGCTTGAGTCCCAAGCTTCCCTAGCGGCCAAGAAACCCTTAGAAGCAAGACAGACCGCAACAGAGGGATTAGGGGTTTGTAGGGGTTTATGGTTTAGGGTCTATAGGGCCTAGGGTCCATAGGCTTTCACAAAAGATCAGCTGTACCCCAGCCACCTCCACACCCCATTTCAACTGCCAAGGCCCCTTCAGTACCAAGTCGCAAAACCCCTAGACCCTAAACCCTGCTTGGAGGGTCGGGGGACTTAGTAACTGGTTATTTTTTGGGGACTTATAAGGACCATAACCCGAATTAGGGTCCCTTTTAGGGTACTTATAAGTCTACTTACTAACTACTTACTAAGTCCCCCGACCCCCCAAGTGAACCCTAGACCCTTAAACATAAGCGCCGTCAGCAATGACCCCTTGTAGTTTAAAGGCAATACATATGTGTATAAGACACCAGTACAGCACACCTTAGCCCCAAATCCAGGCCCTCCACCCTTAGTCCCTTACACCATGAACCTTCTAGCAAAACCTATGATGGCCTTTTCAAGCCTCTGAAAAACATTCGTAACTAAGAGCCTCTTAGGCGCAATAGGGGGACATAACTTCCCAAAGCCCTACCTCTGCCCCTATGGAACCATTTTAACAAATCCAAACACTAAATGCTAAACCCCTACACCCTGAACCCTTTTGAAGGATGCAAACATGACCAAGTCTTAATGGAGCCCTTACGATCCCTAACAGTGGGTATTTAGGTTATAGTAGAGGGTAGTTGGGGGGTGCTGACCAAGTCGCAGCATTTGGCATGGCCTCTTCAGACAAAGTGATCAGGATCGGTTCCTCGGGAGATTGGCGCGGAGGGTGTAAAAGGTTCAGGGGTTTAGGGTTTAGGGATTAGGGTTTAGGGTTTAGGGATTAGGGTTTAGGGATTAGTGATTAGTGTTTAGGGATTAGGGCTTAGGGACTAGCGAGGGTGAAAAGGTTCATGGTTTCGGGTTCATAGGGGCCCTGATGGCTAGAATAGGGTACGGGGATGTGCTTTAGCACAGTTTCAATAGTACAGGGGTGTGTGTATGCAGTTTGACCACTGGTGTCTTCTAGGTTCGAAGTGCTTCCCATGCTCCGAGAATACCTCGCAGGGAGCCCAAAGATGTGGAAACCTAGCAGCTTACATATATAGACAGAAAGATAGATATAAAGATATATATATATATATATGTATATGCCTGAACCTACCAAAACCCTACTTTTTGTCGCCTCTTACTAATTATGGAACATGAGATAAGGGCGACTAGTGCTGGGATTGCCCATCCCCAGCCTTATGGGCATCACGATACTCATTCCTACTTGCTAGCTGCTACTAAGGGTTAGTATACTTGGCATCCTAAGGTTTAGGGTTTAGGGCTCAGGGTTTAGGGTTTAGGACCGAGGGCTTAGGGAAAAGTAGCAGGAGCTCAACACGATAGCGACAGCAAGGCAAGCGAGCTTGAGCCCTGAACTCAAGCCAGACCCTCTCTGACCCAAACCCTCCAAACCCGAAAGGCGGGTTAAGGGTTTAAAGGGTTATTAAACCCTGCCCTACACCTGTAGACTAAAAAAGCCCCAAACTCTAAAGGTTTGAAGAACCGAAACCCTAAACTCTGAACCCGCAACACCCGTCTAGATCTCATATAGACCACAGAACCCATAAACACCTTTCGACATTTAGTGCCCAACGCTCATTTGGAAGGGGCTCTGCGAGATCTCGCACCGCCACGATGGCACCTGCCCACAGCTTCACCTCAGCATCATCTGGCTTAACTAGACCCAACAGTAGCCTAGGAATAAAAAAGGTGCCCTTTTTGCTTTTAAGGGGCTTATAAGGGAACCTGAACCCTAAAAAAGGGAATAAGGGCCTACTCTGAGTCCTATGAGAAAGTTTGAGGATTCCAACATGAGAAACAAGCTTTGAGATCTTGTGCCCAACGGGTCCTATGTACTGTTATGGGGGATACTTCCCGATTCCCGAAGTCATGATGGTAATTGCTGATATGGAAACCCTACGTTCTACTATATCGGTACACAGGACCCTCTGATGTAACGCCAAAACCCGAAACCGGTTGCAGATTCTGGGCTTCTCCGAGGAACGAGCCAAAAAACACCTAGACTCGACCAAAATCACAACCCTGAGGGTCCAAAGACCCAATAATTAGGTCTAGGGTGTGGGGGTTTAGGGGTTTAGGGTTTAGGTTTAGGGGTTTCTAGGGGTTTACCCTTAGAATCCAAAGGACCCCACAAGTAGGTATTTGGGTTTAGGATAAGAGTTATGCAGGTTACTATTTTGGAGAGTATATGATAGTTAGGTACTTGGACCCTTAGGGCAAGCCAATAGGTTTGGGGTTTATAGGGTTTAGGGGCCTCAGAATGTTTTTCCCCTCCACGCTACCCGACAATCCACAAACCTGTTTTGGTGGGATACTCTGTAATGAAGGCGTCATGCGTGGGGTCGAGGCTACGGTTGCAGGTAAACACTAAACCCTACTGCCGTTTCCTATTCGGTAATCGCACAATGTCGAAACCCCAAAATGTGGAGCCGCTCCCAAAATTCACATCCCCCCCACCAACCCCACCTCTTGAAAAAAATAGCTTTTTGCTGACAGCTGTCCTTGTAAAAAGACATATACCAGTCTGAGACCTGAAACTACGTCATGGGAGAAGCCTACATCCTAAATCGTCACATCGTATCATGCAAATGCTCAACCTGGAACTCCTAACCGTATATGGGAGCTTCCGAAAATAGGGGACCCTGATGTATCCTAAATAGTAGGATCCTTATTATAAGGACCCCAAAATAGGATACCCCTAATTTCGGAAACTCCCCTTTAAAGCAGTAGAAGATTGAGTCCTGGACTCCTCAGAGCCCTGAGGAGTAGCAATCTTATATACTTAGTCAAGTACCTCGTGCTGGTCTTCTCTCTCAGCCCTACACAATATGAATAAGGATATGACGAAAAGCCTGAACATTTCTATACATCATCCACGCTTTCAACCTGAACACCAGACTGCAAGTTTAGGACGTACAAGGTGTCAGGGTTCAGGGTCTTAGGTTTGACTGGGTGTTAGGGTTGGGGAATGCAGACCCGCCTTGATGAAGCATAGTTTAGTCTCCTTGCGCCCTCATCCTCAATAAGCGGCCGAAAGTCCAAAAGCCTAAAATCCTGAACCACAACAAACTCCAAATACTTCCCAGTCGCCGAAACGGCTGGCACAGCCAGCACCGTAGTGTCCGAGTTGTTCGTCAGATTCTGCACAAAGTCCTCGGCTGTTCATGCGATGTACCCTGAACCCCTGCTGAACCCTGGGGTTTAGGGTTTAGGGTTTAGGGATAAAAGGGTAGGATTGAGACATTAGAGTGTAGGGTCCCCTTATAAAACATATACTAGGTTGACAAAGAGCGGACACCCATGTACCCGGCAGAAAACCGTAAAACCTAAACGGAACCAAAACCACCCTTGGCCTGAAGTGCCTCAAACCTCAGACGTTGCAGCCCTGAACGAAACGACGGGGTGAGGAGAGCGAAACTGCGTAAATGCGTGCGTAAAGATCTCTGATTATGAGCCCATGGTTTATACCTACTGGTTTAGGGCATATGTCCTGGATAGTTAAGGGGTCACAACCTACTATTCTGTATACGGCTCAGAGTTGATAGGCGTACAGGGCTTGAAGCGCAGGGTTAAGAATTTATAGACTTTCCCAAAGGGTCCTGTGCACTGTTATGGGAGATACTTCCCTAAGTCATGATAGTTCCTGATATGGAAACCCTGCATATTCTACTATGTCGGTGCATAGGACCCTTTGAGTTTCAGGGTTTGGGGCTTAGGGGTTTCCACTGCAGGCCATCAGGCTCAAAGCAACAAGCTGCTCATGCTGCGCCTACACCGTAACGGAGCCTGAACCTGAAACCTACCCAGAGTCTCCATTGTAGTTCCTTTTTTTGGAAAACCAGTTATATGGTTAGGATCCGATAATAGAGATTTCGGTCAACCAAAAAAGGAACTACAATGGAGACTATAGGTGAGTCTTGAAGTCTGAAACCCTAAACCCCAACCCTGGGTCGCTGAGCCCAGAAACATGGGCCCTGAGGCCAAAGACAATAATCTAAAGCCAGTTCTAAGCCAGAAGCTTTGATGAACAGAAACGCCCTGAGGCCAAAGACAATAATCTAAAGCCAGTTCTAAGCCAGAAGCTTTGATGAACAGAAACCAACAAGCGAAGCTTCGATTGTGGATTTACGGGTCGAGGTAGTGGGTTCCGGGAGGGTAAGGCTTGGGGACCTAGGGTAGACATTAACCTACCAAAACCTCCTTTTGTAGGTTCCTAATAAATTCTTTTATGGAATTCCTATAGACCCTACAAAAAAAGTAGGTCCTGGTGGGGTATGGTAGTGATTCAACTACGACTGAGGGTTGAGGCAGGGGCCAGGATGTTGCAGTACCTGCTTCCCGTCGCGGCTTTAGAGCTAAAGCTGGGAAGTTTCGGCCTTAGGACTTGTGAGGCTTTGGGTTAAGGGTTTAGGGTTTAGGGTTTAGGGCTTAGGGTTTAGGGTTTAAGCTAAACCGTGAACCCTAAACCGTGAACTCTAAACCCTCGAAACCACTCTAAACCCTCGAAACCCTGATCCCTATACCCTCCAAACCCCAATCCCTGAACCCTCCTATGGTAGAAGCCAGAAAGTTGGAACATTAGACTCCTCAAGCCCTTAAGGTAAAGTATAAGGGATCCTAGCACGAATCCTCCTAAAGCCATGTTCCAACTTTCTGGCTTCTACTGTAAGTTGAATTAGACCCTTGGGACCCAGAGCCAGGACCAAACAAGGCTCATTGTCCACACTGGAAGATGCCTCCATCAGAACGACGATGTTGCCACCGGCTTCCTGCCGGTTTAGATCTCTTGGGTTTGAGTTTTAGGGTTTAGGATGTAGAGTTCAAGCGTGTAGGGCTTCGGGGTTTAGGCCTAGACCCTAAACCCTAAAAACTAAACCCTGCAACCTGAAAGCCTAAGCCTAAACCCTAACACCTAAACCTTGAACCCTAAACCCTAAAAGCTAGACCATAAAGACTAAACCCTAAACCCTAATCCCCATTAGGGTGTAAGGTTCAGGTCCGCGCGGGGAGGCTTCCTAGAGACTCCAATACCCCTTAATTAAGGAATATTCCTTAAATCATATTAAGGATCCTACTATAATTTAAGGTATATTCCTTAATCAAAGGGTATGGGAGTCTCTGGGTTCATTTTCGGCGCAGTGGTGAGGATCCTCTGGGCCGAGAAGGAGTTTTGATTTTAGGGCTCCTTGAAGGGTTCTATTGAGGGCTCCATGAAGGTGAGTTTCAGGGTTTAGGGGTTTAGGGTTTAGGGTTTAGGGGCTTGGGGTTTAGGGGTTAAAGGTTTAGGGGTTTAGGGCTCCATCAAGGATCCCTGAGGCCTAAGTAGTCCTTATTTATGGGTTCTGGTGCCTAAAAAGGCCCGAAAGACCTGTAAGAGGGAGTACTTGGACCCTCTAGGGATGTATGTACTAGGCCTAGGGTTTTGGGTTTAGGTTTTTTCTGAATTAGGGCTTGTTTCGTACAGAACCGATCAGTTTGCGTTTGTCGGTTTGGGGTTCAGGGTCAAGGGTTCACAGTGGGAAGAGGTTCAAGAGCTCCTAGTTGGGGCAGGGGACTCATCAGCCAGTTGAGCAAGGTGATATTTAGGGCTACAAGCCCTCTAGGTGGGTTATGCTAGCTTTAACCTGACTTATAACTGTACATGTACTTGCTACGTCCCTTGGGCTTTGAAGTAGTTGTGGCTGGGTTTCTTGGCCCAAGAAAGTGGCAACAAAATGCTGGCCTTTGGCTTAACCTGGCAAAAGAACTGTGGCTCAAGGGGTTGGGGGGAGGAGCCGGCCAACCTTCACCAACTGTTTTGGAATCGCGGCCGAGACTGACGTTCCCTCGACCTGGGTTCAGGGGCTTGCGCTGTGGGCTTCGGGCTTAGGGCTTGACGGCTAAAGTGCTCAGATCACTGAGGGACATATTTATCATGGCATATTGGAGCCCCAGGTCAAAGTTTTCCGGGTTGAGGGTGTTGCCAAACGGCAACCCAGGTCTGAGCTTGTCATTAATCTAGTACTAGAAAGCCTGAAAAATCTGAGATGGCACCATCCTTTGTTAAACGTTTAAAGGACTATTTAGTACCATATTATGCATGCATGTTTTAAGACATACAGAAGGTGGCCTGTATGTCCAGAACCAACCGGACCTAAAGCTTGACTTGCCAACTCATAATGCCCAGCCGCCCTCACTTGCACCCGGGTCTCGGCAACATCCTCGTCCTGCGGCTTCACTGACTTGGGCGGAACAGTAGGGTTTAGAGGGCTTTGTGAGCGTAGACCTTGGCGCTGGAAAGGGCTTAAGGTTTAGGGGTTTGGGGTCTACTTAAAGGATCATGGGACTTAGTAACTAGGATTATAGTTAGGGTACCTATACTTGTAACCCCAGTTAAGGTACTTATAACCTTACTTACTAAGTCCCATGATCCTCCAAGTAGGAGACCATGAAGGGATGTCAAAAGCAGATCATAGCAGGTGCCCACACCTAAGACCAAAACGACATCCCCTGGCAATCGCACATGCCAACATAAACTAAGTGCCCAGTATGCCCAGCCCTCAAGCAGGCGTTGCAAAGATTGCGGGAAATTGATACGACGCATCACCCCAGTCACCGATGCACCGATGCACCAGTAAACCCCACCAAAAAAAAAACCTGAGCCGTACAGACTAATTACCAGCGGAGAACCTGAAACCCTAAGATAGGGGCCGTTATGATTAGAATAGGGTAAATTGGGGCCCATAAAACTATAGCCATAATAACAAGGAACCCCCCCAAAATAGTACAGGTAATTATAATAAGGAACCCCCCAAAATACTACAGGTACTTATTCAGGCCCCTTAGATTAAACCGGTCTGTCCTGAGCGACGCTAATCTGCTGCGCCATCATGGTGGATGTTTCGGAGCGAGTGACGACCTGCAGCTTCACTTGTTGCGTCTACTTGTTTAGGGTTCAGGGTTTAGGGCTTCGGATTTAGGGTTCAGGCCTTACCCCACACTTCGGTGCAATGACTTGCACTTGCCACTCTGCAAACTCGCTGGCCTAGGCAGCTTCAAGCAAATGAGGCCTGCACAGCTCTGGAATGCTCCTGCCTGGCACTGCACTCCGCATGTCGTAGTTCGTGAGGAAACACAGAATCTGCCGCATGGTGACCGTTTTGCATCTTGGGGGCAGCTCGACCACACCACAGCTTTCAAGAAGAATCTTCTTCACGAGAGGTCCGGGAAGAAGGCTCATCTTGTTCATCGACTTTCCAAGTGTCTCCTCCCTGCCTAAACCTGCTAATGGAGGACTGCCCTTCTGCAGGTGGGCTGGAACAAGCTGGTTCTTGTCCATCAGCTTCCAGATCCATAGTGCAAGCTGCGGGAACCTTGGGGCCTTTATTAGGGTTCCTTTAAAGGGGTCGATAAGGGTTACTGTAAGGGATCTATAAGGGTACGGTAATCATGCAGGAACCTGGTTAAGAAACCTTGGGCCTTTATTCGGGTTCCTTATATGAATCCTACTATTGACCCGAGAAATCCTACCTCTTGCGGGGTCACGAGCATGATTCCAAATATAATGCCTGAAAGACGTAGGATCTTGAGGTTCAGGTACAGCATAGGGTTTAGGGTTTAGGGTTTAGGGTTTATGGGTTTAGGGTTTAGGGTTTAGGGTTTAGGGTTTAGGGTTTAGGTCCAGGTTCTTAGCGTTCCTAAGGTCTTTCAGGGTCTCGGGTTCAGGGGCTTTGGACCAATGTGTGCAATCGTAGGCTCCGCATGGGCGAAGTCGGACTATCTTCTGGGTTCCACTGCGTCCCTTTGAACATATGGGCTCCCTTTTTCTCGTTATTCTGTTCTAACAAGGAGCCCTTCAAACAGCAGCGGCAAAGCGGTACTACTGGGAACGTAGACATTAAATGCAAAGAACTATGAACTCTCCAAGCCATAAAACAGACGGCTATACTTGATGCTGCAGGAACCCTACGGCTCAAAACAGCCCCAAGCCCTTATCCTAAGGAAATGCCTGCTGGATTGGCTATCTCCCACTTAAAAATATTTCTTGGGGTTGTGATTGTTCCAAAAGAAGAGCCGGAGCTCTGCTTGGAGGCGCAGGGGGACTCAGTAAGTCCCTTTTAAGTAGGGTTATGATTGAGGTAACCCCATTTAGTCATTTAGGGTGCTTATAACTCTACTAGTACTTATAACCAACTTACAAAGTTCCCTGGGATCCCAGACTGAGTCCTTTAAGGGAATCCTTTAAAGAGAAATGTTTAGGGTTTAGGACGCAGGCACTGCAGGATGTTGCCGTGCTTGGGGGGTTCAGACTTCAATGCTCTGGCAACTCCTCGTCTCTACTTCAACCCCAAAGGGTCGGGAGTAGCTGTAAGGATTCCCTTATAAGGCTCCTTTAAGGGTCTCTCGAAGGGTTTCTATAAGAAGACTACAAGGATTGAGGGTCAAAGGGTCCTAAGTGCCTATACAGTAGAATGTAGGGTTTCTGTTTTAGGACTTAAGATTCTGATTTGGGGAAGTATCCCCCGCAACAATACCCCTAAAGATCTCTTGTAGATACCCTTGAAGGGACCCCTGTAGATCGCCTAAAGGAAACCCTAAAAGTATCCCCCGTAACAGCACCTAGGATCCTTTGAGATAGGATGTAGTCCGAAGGGGGCTGCCTTCTGGAGCTTTCAGCATCCAAAAACTCAGAATCCTAAACCCCCAAACCCCAAACCCGAAATCCTCAAGAACCCCCTCCCCCGAACCCTGAACCCTGGTCCTAAGAGCCTGAACCCCTAATTTGTTTACCTAAATCAATGGAGCTTCTGGAAATCGCTACGAAACGTGCAGCCCTCGTGCCTGAGTGATGTTCTCTGCAAACAGCTCCTGTAGAAGCTCCTTTGGCAGGTTAAGGTTTAGGGTTCAGGGCTTTGGGTTTTGGATGCTCTTTCGGACTGTTAAGACTTATTTGTTTTAGGCTGTGGGCTAGGGCTTCCTAGCTTTGCCACTGTAGTCTGAGTCTTGCGCTTGTGGGCAGCTTGGGTACAAGATGGTATAAGTAGAGTAGACCCTCAAGTGTCACCGAGAACGAAATACATATCTATATAATATATTATTTAATATACCAGATATACCCTGGGCGCCTAACCCCCCAATAATCCTAATACCCACTTGCTGGCTTGCCTATCCCTCTTCTTTAGAGCAGGGTTTGGGGTGCTACAGATAGGGCTTGCGGTTTCGGAATCAGCTCCTACTATTTCGATCTATCCGGTTCCCCCGAAGAGTGGACTATTCGACCCTGAATGCCCATTATTTGGGGCCATATACTTCTATTATTCAAGAGTACATGGAGGGTTCTGGTAGGCTCCTTATTGTAAGGATCCCCGTCCTCTTCTGCCTGTGAGATGGGCTCCGAAATCCAGACGGTCGAAGTTGTTGTTGCCGTGATCGTCAACCGTGTCGTCGTGGTCCTTTTCGGACTTTAGGGTAACCCTAAACTTTAGGACCTGCCTCTAACAGTAAAACGACCCCTCTCTTTAGCCCGGATGTCCTGGCCTATTTCGGTTATGATTGGGTATGGTTTTGAACACTTATCCGCGGCAAGTGAAGACTTACTTTGCGCGGAAAGTGAACACTTATCCTGGCCAGGTGAACACTTATTTTGCTGGGAAAGTGAAGACTTATCCTGGCCCGGTGAACACTTATTTTGGTGGGAAACTGTACTCTTATCCTGGCCCGGTGAACACTTACTTTGGTGGTAAAGTGGACACTTATCCTGGCCAGGTGAACACCTATTGCTGGGAAAGTGAACACGTATCCAAGTGCTCACCGGGCCAGGATAAGTCTTCACTTTACCACGAAAATAAGTGTTCACCGGCCCAGGATAAGTGTTCACTTTCCCAGCAAAATAAGTTTTCACCTGGCCAGGAAAAGTGTTCACTTTGCCACCAAAGTAAGTGTTCACCGGGCCAGGATAAGTGTTCACTTGTCCAGATTTAAGTGTTGACTTTGGTACCCAAAACCACATAAAGAGTTACTGTTAGAAGAAGGCCCTAACAACCTAAGCTGTAATCCTAAAGGACATACCCTAAACCCTAAACCCCATACCCTAAACCCTAAACCTAGGTTGGGGCTTCGGACTTTAAGGTTAAGCCCAGGAGCCACTCCCAGGGCCCTAGATACTGTTACAAGGGCCCCTTTCAGGGCTGTTTCCGAGGGATCTGCAGGGCTTCCTTTAAGGGCTCCTTTACGGGATCTATACTATAAGGGAGACACCGTAATAGTAGTTGAACCCTACTACATTCTACTAGGTATTTGGGACCCTTTGGAATTGTGGCCAAAGCACGATGGCGAGTCATGGTTTAGGGTTTAGGGGTTTAGGGTTTAACCCTTGAGATCATTGTAGTATGATAATTTATTGTGATTGCCCTGATGCCCGCCCTTGCCTATGCAACCCCAATACAGCCCCTACGAAACTCGCACCACACTAGGTGAGCATCGATCAAAACCCTTACGAAGCACCTAAACTAAGCGAGAGCGTCTGTGTCAATGTCGACTGGGTGGATGTCGTCTCTGTCAATGTCGTTGCTGTCAAGGTGGTCTCCGTAATGCCTGGGTTCTTCTTCTTGTGGGATTTAAGGGGACTTGGGGTTTCGGCTTTAGGATTTAAAAGTTCCGGGTCGAGGTTTGAGGGCTTTAGATGTGGTTTGGTTTTGCAACGATCTCTGCGCATTCCCGATTTCCGTGAAGGTTTGCGTCTTGTGTAGAGTACACACCACATGGCTTCAGGCGTGTCTGCTTCGCTCCAAGACTCTTATGATGGGAGGCCGAAGGGGTGGTTTAAGATTCTTGGGGTAGGGATTCCTTAATATGAACCCCATTATGGGAACCCTAATCCCTACTAAAACCCCCCATAGGCTAAAAACCCTTTGTGGCCTCCTATGATCTTAGCAGACTCCGAAGAGGATCAAGCGGGATATGTAGTTCCCGCATGTTTTTTGCAATGCAGAGTGGCGATAGTAACCATTCAAGCGATTCTGACGACCGTAGTATAGAAAGCGTCTCATCACCAACATCGACACGTCAACATCACAATATCATCCGTCGTCCACAGGACATCAACGTCCATCAGCAACATGGTCGTGACCGACATCATCGCACCCGAGGTCGCCCGAGGTCGGAAAACCATGTCAGAGTCACCGACGCCATGACGGCAAACAACAAGTATATCCTCAGCCACAGCGTCTAGTCATTGTCGTGGTGGTCATCGTCGTCGTGGATGTGCGTAACTTGGTGGTGGTGATCCTCAGCACCGCCGGCTCCGGAACCCTAGCAGTTCAACATAGGGTGCAGTGGGTTTAGGGTTTAGGGTTTAGGATTGAGGGGTTTAGGGTTTAGGGTTTATGCATGCATCCATTGCGGACTGTCCCGAAGCAACCACTTGAGGACTGACTACGTACAACACTGCGCCTTCAGTGTGCCTGACGGTGGGCACGCTTATGCGCATAAAAGATCTCATGAGGGGACCGGAAAGGGATCTGTGCCGCAACCGGTTCCTGTACAACTGTATAGCCCTCCTTGAGAACCTGCCGGTAGAGTCGGCCAGTGAAGTGCCGAAACAAACTATCACACACCACTCTTGCCGTATGGTACTGAGGCCTCATGCGCAGTGCTGGGACTTTGCATGGGACCCCGACGCATCGCAAAGCAAACTGTGAACTGAGCTTCCATGGGCATTTACATGCAGAAAGAACTGCACGCAGAACGTGAGAAAAAACTAGCACTTGTGAAGTGAGAGGCTGAGCACACAAGGATATCTGAGGGCACTGGACCTGATGCACCCAAGCTGCCTTGACCGACACTTTGTCAAAAGGTGCAGGTCTGGCAGCTTTGTCCCACTTAGCAACATTAACTGGGGCTAACCAACCCGTTTCGGCAGTGAAAGCAAAATACATTTCCATCACCGAAAAACCTTGCTCATCTGGAACCCATCGATGCCGCGAGCACCAGTCGAATAACAGTTGCGCGAAAGGCGGGCACAACAAGAACACATCCCAGTTTGGGACATTATCTTTACCAGGAAAAACAACCCCTGCGTCAGCAGAAAGCATGCCGACTCTGTCTTGAAAGGTATTTTGCGAGGGGGGGCTTACATGTGGGTTTAAACTTACAGACTTACGGGTGTGGTGCTTAGTGTTGAAAACTTCCGCAACGCTTCTGTGCAGAGAATACACTTGCGCCTGTGCGGCGCGCGTGCCTTTTACAGCTTGCACAGCTTGACGGTGGCAGTCATTGACACGCTTGTCACTTCGAGAAAACACCGCTTTGGCATACTCATCTGCAACGCCGTTGTGGAACCAAAGCCACGCGTGCTGCTCATCAGGCGCTGAGCGCCAATCCTGATGACTTTTGACTTTCACGATCCGCCAAGTGCCACTGCAAGTTTTAAGTGCTTGGGAAATTTCGAACCATATATCAAGGTTGCTGTGTTTCCACAACTTCCTGATATCCCAACCATGCTGCAAAAGCAAATTAAAACCTGCAACAGCAACTTCCGAATCGGAGTAAATAACCCCGCCATCCCCCAAAAGTACGGCTGCAAGGACTGCAAAAGTCTCGGCTCTGTTGTTCGTGTGATGTTCACCTGGCACATAATTATGCAGCATTTTGGCTTGGCTCAGCACCCCAGGTTCTGCAAGCACAACAGCCCAGGCAGACAGACTGAGGACTGGATCTGTCGGATGCAGAGTGGAACCATCTGTGAACAAGTGGACGTCTTCGCCTTCAAAAAACTTTGTGACAGTCTCGCAGGTACGGGTGCGCATCAAACTCTTAAACTGAAGCAACTCCGGTGGTTCTTGAAACAAACCCCATTGCAACTCAAAAGTGCTCAGAGTCGCAGGGAGCGTCAGCGATTCTCTGCAACTCAACGTAGCTGGGCAGTGCACAAGCATATGTTCAACTGTAAGCTCAGCTTTACAAAAAGGGCATAACAAATCTTCTGGTGCTGCAAAATGCTTCCGTCGCGATGCCGGCACTATGGCGCCACATGCGTAGTTTGCAACTTGAGCATCGTAACCGTGCCCAGTTTGAAGCAACTGCCGAACTAAACGAACCGAAAAACTTTGGAGACCCTCCAACCCTTGGTAACTTTGCACAACTCGTACAACTTCGCACTGCCAAGCCTCCAACCAGTGTTCATAAACAATATCCCAACTAGACAGAAGGATGCTAAGCTTAACTTGACCTGGCACTTCGACCCAACCATCCGGAAGGGGGATCCATCCTAAACTACGAATGTCCTTGAAGAAATACGTCAGAGGCCCTCCGCACTTGGACACACGGCTGTGTAGCAAGACATTCCAGGCACTACGAACGACAGGGTACAGGGCCCACATGCGCTTAAGCGTGGTCCAGCGCCGCCTAAAGACATGAATCCATGGCTCATAGATTTCACTTGCACCAAGCAAAGGCGCAAGGAAATGATTTCTTTGGTTTGCAGATCCCCAAACAGCTTTGTTGCATTTGCCTCGGAAGGTACCTAAAGCAGAAACGGACACCGAGCTCAGCTCCGACCCATACAAGGCTGACGGAAAAACAAACCGCGTCAAGCAGGCAACTTTCTTGGCGATACTCCAAGGCAGCACTTGAAGGCGCTCCAACTTAACTAAATTCTTATCCACTCGGCCCTGAAAGCCTTTCGCAGACGATGCTTTGCGGGTGCAAAACTGAACTCCTAAATCACCAAAATCATTAGCGACAGGAATAAAAACACCCTCAATAGAAAATCGGCGCAAAATGCCACGGAATTCCTTAGAAGTAGCATAAGCTATTGACTTGTCGGGCGACAGAGACATCCCTAAGTTTTTGGTGACGGAAGAGACGGTGCTGGTGGCCGCACAAGCGAGTTGAGGATCAGAAGCTTGTATACGCCAGTTATCAACGTATGATCGCAATGGTAAACCGTGGCAAGCTTGCACCTGACCGGACACTGCCCACGTGATGATTATCATGGACAAGACAGCGAGCGGGCATCCTTCAGGTACACCGGTCAAGCTAGTGCGTGGAGGAAACAGCTGACCACCAATGCGAAAGTGACGTCTTACACCGCTCAGGAAGTTTCCATAAGCGCTGACAACGGATGCGGGCCAACCAAGTCTTGATGCCAAGACACAAACTACTTCCCTGGAGATCGTATTATAAGCTTTGCTTAAGTCTAAAGAAAACCCTGCCACATGCTCGCCGGTGTGGAGTGCAAGTTCTAACTCATTCTGAAGAACCCATGCAAGGTCCATGGCAGACTTGCCTGGTACTGACCCGTACAGTTCTTCAGGAAACACAGGGCTGAGATGGGAATAAATTTTCGCAGCGATGCAGCGTGCCCATACACGATACAAAGTCGCTAGTACAGTGATAGGTCTGCCATCTTTGGCACTGGTCGGGTGAGGAATCTTAGCAAGCAGTGCTACTGTAGCATCAAGCAACTTCTCAGGCCACTTACCTACGCGAGTTACAGTGTTGAATAAAGACAATAACATCTGCTGCAACACTTCTGGCATGGCTTTCAACTCTGGCATCGAAAAACCATCCAAACCCCTTGCTGTTCCCGTTTTGGACGTTCGCAAAGCCCACTGAAGCTCCGAAAGGGTGATTTCTGCATCAAAAGCTGGCATGACCGGCAAATGTTGAGCTAAAGTTTGGATAAAATCCATGTCAATTTCCTTTCTATTTAACCAAAACCCATCCCAGTATTTTGCAACAGAAGCAAAAACAGCCTCAGGCTCAGCGCACCAAGAATGCTGTTGTGCGGACTTACAATACATGGACTGACACATGGGCCGGTCCAAAGTTACGACACCTTTGTTAAAAGACACAACACCACACTTAACAGAACCAAAAGACCAAACTGTCCCTGGTATCGGCTCACTCCCGTGAACTAGTGTGAACTTGGCAGGTGAGCCTTTGCAAACTCGCCTTGGAGACACGTGAACGGTTTGAGAAGTTGTTATGCTGTGTAGTGGCGGCAGCTGCTCATCTTTAATGGCCCTGGCATGACAACGACCACCTGAAGACCAATCAACCTTCATGGCCTCCACTATGTGATGGGACTTTTGTTTCTTCACTACAGTATCCCACCATTCAGCTTCAGAACGTAGGGCAGCCCCTACCTGACACAACCACACCTTATCTGGAATACCCAAAGGCACAAAGTCAACAATGTCATTGTTAAGAACCCATTCCCTAAACCCACCCGGGAAACCAGGAGCTTTACAGATCTTGCGCCACAAAATGTGGCAACCTGCGCAAGGCTGGACAGGACTCTTCGCACGAGCGTGCGCCAACTCTAAAACCCATCGGACAACACGCAGACGCTTACCAACCAAAACCCTATCTGTGGCGAAAGAGCCATCAACTAAGGCACGGATGCGACCTGTGTGTGCTGGCACCAAACGTCCGTTTGCGCGACCTTTGCAATCTAATGGCAAGCACTGGCTAGAGGATTCTTGGAAAGCTGTTTCTGCAACCTCCTCAAAAGCACTGGTGAAAGAACGCAAGGCAGCATCAACATCGTTAGTGACTACAACTTCCTGGAAGTGAGCGGCTAATGTGTTGGAGACGCTTGCGTGTTTAAACTTGTCTAACAACCCTGGGACTGCCTGAAAATCTTTCGGCATTTTCCAAACCATGGTTTGAGGCAACTTCGTGGGAAAATCGAAATGCACAAAAAGTTCTGCATGATCTGTGAAGCCTCGGGGATCAACATAGAAACCTCGGCAATATTGCCACGCATGTGCATTTACCAAGACGTAATCAAGGCGCGAAATGCCTCGATATGTGTTGGCCGGTTCTGCATTTGCAAGCGATGCGAAGTGTGCACCGGCATCAACAAAACCTTTTGCGCGAAGCAGTGGCCATGCCGTAAGTGAGTCAATGTCAATGTTGAAATCACCGCAAACGATAGTAGGCAAATGAAAGCTGCAAGCTTGCTGCGCGATAGCATCGAACAACATGTCGGAACGAGCAGCTGCATTCGGTAATGACGAATGAAACCCATAGACGCCTATGATACGTATCTGGAGGGTACCCAGCGCGACTATGCAGTCACAAACCCTACCAGAGGCCCAAACTATGGGATCCCAGGAACCTTGCAAAGTACTCTGCTTCTGGCCGGGGGTATAGCACAACACACCGGATGCTTCTCCCCTACCAACTTGCACCAAATCATTGTGGACACGGAAAGATGCGGGTGCTGAAAAACTACAAAAAGCCTTGGACTGCTTAGCCAAGCTACGGATTTGCCTTTGTGTTGAAGAAGTGGCGGAAGTCTCCGTCCACACTTTACAACATGAAGAATCATTAAGCTCACTGGAATGCTTATGGGCAGACACAATGTTCCGAACTGAAAGGCTCCATGCTGGTCCTGGATTGGTCGCTTCACCAAAGCGGACCCCTAAAGAAAGCAACCATGCCCATCGAGCCACTCGCAGAGTGAGCAGGAAACGTGGCCAATAGGGTTTAGGGGTTTAGGGTTTAGGGTTTAGGGTTTAGGGGTTTAGGGTTTAGGGTGCAGGACCTAGGAAATTCTGCGGCTAGGCATCTCTGTGGAGTTACCTTCGCTGCCGTTGTCATCTGTAGCATTGTCATCTGAGTCGCTGTCCGTCCTGTCAGTCGCAGGTGGGCAACTGGATACAAATCATATATATATATATATATATACATATAAGCCCCTTAGACAACAAACTCTTGTTGAAGAACAGCTTCTCTGCGTCTATGTCAGAGTCAGAACGGAACAGTAACTCCCATGGAACACCCAGAGAAGCCCCGACGAAAGAGCGACGCAAGCCTGAGTGCAACACCTCTGACAACCGACCCAAGCTGGAAAACCTAAAAATGTCTTCGTGCTGAAAAACAAACTGGATATAGTGGCCTTTGTTAGTAGAAAGGGTTGGCCTAAGCTTGAAAGCCACACCCCAACAAGCGAAGAGCTTAAATCCTACTTTAAATGACGACGGCTTACTTTCTGCGGCGGGAATGAATTTAAAACCTGAGTACAGAAACTGACTGGGGCCCTACTTGCTGAAGGCTAAACCCGACAATGGGAAACTACTTGGAGGGGCGGGGGACTTAGTAAGTAGGTTATAAGTTGAGTTCTAAGCACCCTAAATGGAGTTACCCCAATTATAACCCTACTTATAAACGACTTACTAAGTCCCCTGCCCCTCCAAGTAAATACATACTCGAAAATGTTAAGCCCATTAAAAAAACGAATCCCCAAACCCTACCTACACAGCTAAAGAAACCTAGGAGGCAAAAACCGATACACTGCTTATCCTCAGCCCTGTCGGTCCAGAAAACCCTAAGCTTTACACCCTAAACCCCAAACCCTAAACCTTTTCCAAAATCCGATCAACCCCTGCAGCTTCAGCCCAGGGCCGTCCGTGACCCTAAACCCAAAACCCTAATACATAGTACAACCTAAACCTTAAACCCCTAACACATAATGAACCTTGAGCCCCTACAACCTGTAAACGCTTAAAATTTAGAGGCCCAGGGGACTTATTAAAATCGAGGTATAAGTGCCCTGAATGGAGCTACCCCAATCAGGACTCTACTGAAAACCGACTTACAAAGTCCACAGGGCCTCCAAGTACCCCTCATACCGAAACCTCTCACGATCTGCATGTTTCGTGATGGTCCTGCAGCGGCCACAAGTCACCTGAGAAAGGTCAAGGCATCAAATGCTAATGATCTAAATACCGTATATATATATATATATATGTATGTATAGCGATGAACATTATGTCCTTTCATACACATGTGTAGTCTAAGCAAAGTATGTACATGTATATGCCTGATAGGTTCTATCAGGATACAGAAACCATACGTTCCGTCAACATCTCAGAAAGCAACTTTTCTACCAAAATTAGATCCTGCATAAAAAAAATCGATATACTCAGCCAGGGCAAGTCGCAGGACACAGCTCCCTGTGCGGCATGGTGAAGCTACGGGACTCATAGGTCTCGTTGCACTGCTCCTCGCGACGCACTTAGGGCTCAGGGTGCGGGATGGTGGGTAGGGTTTACCTGGGGATCCAAAAACCTACTGTTTTAGGGGTTAGACCCTATAACTAGAGGGTCATAACCTACTATTTTGTAGGGTTGGGGATATAGGTAGGGTTTACCTTAAGCCCGAAGAACCTCCTGTTTGAGGACTTATATAAGGAATTCACAGTAAGGAACCCCAAAATGTAGGTTTTCTAGGGTCCAGGTAGGGTTTGGGGTTGAAGGGTTATATACAGCGCTAGGGTGTGCAGGGGCCCGAGTTACTTTAGGTTTTTGGAAAATTTAGGAGTGTAGGTGTATTAAAAGGATCTGCGGCCTTTGGTTCGTGCCTTCACCAGCTGGCAGAGCACGTGTCTACACGCGGATTGATCACATTCACCCTAAACCCTAAGCCCTAAACCCCAAAATAGCTGTAATGACGAGATGCTTCAAGTCAATCTTTCGTCCCCGTAGGGTTGAGAGTTCAAGGTTTCTGGTTTACGATTTAGGGGTATAGGTTGTGGGTTCCCCTTATAGTCCCTGACGATATGCTCCAATATAGAAGCTTGCCAAAACCCGAATGTAGGGACCTGGGCGATGAGGATGTTAGGGTCTTTCATTCTCTGTTAATGTATAAACTTGTTGAGGAACCAAAAGGAATACTGTTAGTGCTCCTACCTGCGAGCCCTCAACCCTAAACCCCTAAAGCCCTAAACCCCCCAAACCCTAAACCCAAGGCCCAAAAAAACACATAAGCAAAAACATGGATAGGGAGATCCCATATAAACCCCTTATCAAGAAGCCCAGTCAAGTAGGCATATCCCCATAACAGTGCTTATGCTTATGTCCTTTTTGGGGTCCCTACACCCTAAACCCCTACACCCTAAACCCCTAAACCCTAAACCCTTGAAACCCCTAAACCCTACAAGCCCTAAACCGCTCCTCAAGGCCTCCCTCCAGCCGCGGCAAGTCGGCACAGTACTCGAACGATCTTCCTGGTTGGCGACAGTCCTGCAGCTCAGGGCTTAGGGTTTAGGGCTTAGGGTTTAGGATTTCGGGGTTTAGGGTCTAGGATTTAGGGTTTAGGGGGCTTTGGTTTAGGATTTAGGTTTTGGGGTTGAGGGTCTAGGGCTTAGGCTTGAGGGGTTTGGTCGTGAAGTGTATGATTTTTGTGGTTAATCTTTAGGGTTCGGAGTTTAAGTTAGTTTCTCAGGTTTGAGGCTTAGGATTGAGGTTCATTGTGCATGTCTGGTGATCTTTTCTCTCAGCCCAAAACCCATCCTTCTACCAAGCGAGGCGGCACCCTCATAAGATAGGAAACCCTAAACTCTGAAAAGCCCACAAACACCAGCTGCAAGAACTGCAAGTTCAACCCTGCACTGCGTGGACTTTTGAAACCCTAACCTGACGAAAACCCTTGCACACGCGTTAGGGACACCTGATTGCAAGAAACCTTTCCATTAACCATATTCAGCAAGAACTTCAACCCTTAAGCAAAAAACACCTGCAAGTTGCCACGTGTTTCCTCCAGGCTGCCGAACATGTACTGCAGATTTCGGACTTCCGGTCGAGGCCCCCCGACGTTCACGCCCAGGATCCTTGAATGAGGATTTTCGGGTTCCGCGCTTAGGTTATTAGTACCACTGAAAAGACGGTCTGGAGATGCATTAAAGTAAGGTTATATCCTAGCCGACATTCTGCTTTCTTATTGGTATTATTGGAACTTGAGGGAGTTTTGGGGGTGTATGTATCGGATTTATGTATTCCCAGTTGCAAGGCCCCTCACCCCAAAGGTAGAGGCACTACAGAAATCTACACCCAACCCGAAAGAACTCTTGAATGATTTTTAGGGCTGCGTGCTGAAGATAAGGATGCAGATGAAGTTGATGATGATCATGATGACGATGGTGCTGACCAGGTGGTGGTGCTGCTGATGTGGATGTGTATCATGAAAATGAGGATGATGATGATGATGGCGACGACGAGGATGGCGATGATGATCCCGACTTCTAGCTTCTGGCATCCACCCGAAACCCCTACACCCTGACGGCCTGAATCCTTACGAAACCCTTAAAGGGAACCCCTACGCTCGTGTAAGCCCTAGGTCCAAACCCCCAAAACCAGAATCTGAAGTCGCGTGAAGCCCACGATCCTAAAGCCAAACCCTGAAGCCCCAACCTTATCTCAGACCCCCTTTGGAGGATATAGAAAGTAGATCCCCGAGTTTGGGGCCCTATACTACTAAGGGTACTTTAGAGGAAGCCCCACTAAGGGATCTACTTGTTGCATCCTCCAAAGGGGGTTCTGGGATGATAGGGACTGCAATAAATAGACTAGACAATAGAACTACAGGGGGCCCTTTGCCTAATGAACTCATGGCAGCCCAAAATCCTCTTGACTTTGAAGTAACCAGGGGGAAAAACAGTAGGAACAGGCACCAAAACAAAGTATTTAAGTATGGTACTCCAAACCCAGGTCCTACACATCATCTTCACCAAGGAAGGCTCAAAAAGCCCTCACGCAACCCTTGCAAATCCCGAAACAAGCCTCCAACCATCTCCAACCTAAGCCGGGCCCCGAATCTCCTAAAACCGAAACCCCGAAATGCCCGTACAGCGGCTGATGGCCGCGAATCACCACATAGGTAAGCTCGTCGCCTTCTACTTCTAACCTTGGGCTTCCACGGCATCTTGGATTTCGGGGTTTACTAAGCGTTTTCGGGGTTTGGGGGTTAAGGGTGGTTTAGGGGGTTCGTGGTTTGCGGTTCCAGGGTTTAGGCTTTAGGAGTTCATGGTGTAGGGTTTACTGGGTTCTTGTCAAGGAACTTCATTTAAGTTGCCATAATAGGGATCTATAGCAAATTATGCGGTTTCCTTATTATGGCAACTTGAATTAAGTTCCTTAACAAGAGCCCAGTTTAGGGTTTCGCGAAAACTCTTCAGGACAATGGTTGGAGCCCAGCCGTTTGCTCTTTTAGTTCTTTCTGCTGAGGGGGCTTGGGTAATGTAGGAACCTGACTAAGAAACCCTGGCCCTATAACCCCAAAGTAATAGGATTCATATGAGGAGCCCTAATAAAGACCCAGGGTTTCTTAATCAGATTCCGACGGCTGATGATATAAATCCTGCATTATTACCTTCAGGACCCTTACATATCGGAGTTATGGTATGTTCGTTATTATGGGTAATGCAGGATTGATAACATCAACCCTAAACCTTAAACCCTAGACTCGGGTTGAGGTTTCAGGCCACACCGGGGACCCGGACTCCCGAGTCCCCCGGGCTTGGGGTTTGGGTTTAGGGCTTAGGGTTTAGGGTTTGGGGTTTAGGGTTTAAAGTTTTGAGATTTAGGGTCTAAGGGTTTAGGATTTATAAGGTTTGGGTTTATGGCTATGCTCGCAGTTCAAAAAACCACTGCTGAGGACCATGTAGAAAATTAAGCATGCCTTGAGGGACTCAGAGGGGGTCCTGGTTGGGGTTTCGGCTTCAGGGTTTCCACTATGGGCTATTAGACCTTATGGGTACCTTAATCTACCCTTAATAGGGTCCTAATAGGGATCTTTAGGGTCTGATAGCCCATAGTGGTTCAGAAAGGTTTACTTATCCTTAGTTGCTGAGTTCACAAAACCACAAAAAAAAACGTACACTTTCGGTTGTATAGGGGGTAATACTCTCCCAAAAAGTGGAATTGTGTATCCACTCAGCTACTACCCTGACCCCCGCAAGGATCCAAAAAGTAGATCCCTTAATGGGGGGTTCCTATAAAGTACCCTTAGTAGTATAGGGCCCCAAATTATGGGATCTACTTTCTAGTTCCGCACGGGGGTCTGGGTAACGCTTACTTATCGTGCGGCAACATGTGTGCATCCTGAAACTGTGCTCCTGGCGTGATTGGTTCAACTCAATGCCACTTTCCCTGGGAATCTAAGGACTCATGAATTTTTAGGCGTTGGGCCCAAAGACCATACTATAGAAGGCTTTTGGGCTATTCTGACGCCCAGGGTTTCGGGGATTCTTGAAATCTGGGAGAAGAAGGTCCGTCCAGCAAGGATCCGTGTATGATATATGTACTCGGACCGACTACATGGTCCATGGTCACAAACAACTCTTGTTAAGGAACTTAATTTAAGCTACCATAAAAGGGATCTATAGTAAATTATGGGGTTCCCTATGGTAACTTAATTAACTATAATGAACTTAGAACCCTAGCAAAAATTATGATTTTAGCTGTTTCTTAGGGATTATAATAACCAAAAATTAAAAACTATTTCTAAGTACCCCTAAGAACTGCAGTGTCGATCCCATAGTCTGAGCTCGAGACCCTGAAACCACTAGGGCCACCAGGGTCTGAAAGAGGAGGGATATCCAAACCCAACCCGACCCGCTAAACACCCTGTTGTTCAGCCCGTTTCACCCTGAACCCTCAACCCCAACACTCCACCATGGAGCGCGATCGATTCCCATTCAAACCCAGGTTGATCATCACCGATGTCCCGCGCGTTGATGTCGGAACAGTACCTGCCAGCTCAGGATTTAGGGTTTTGCGGGCTTCGGGGTTTAGGGTTTAGGGCTTGGGGAGTAGCACGATTCCATTCAGGCAGACAGGACATGGTAGGTGTTCAAAACACCTCTGCATGCTGCAATGCAAACTCTGCCCGCTGCATCCGCGAGTGATCCTCCATCTGTTGAAGTCCCTGTTGTTCCGGCTCTCACCGCGGTTGTTCTTGGAGGCCGCCTTAGCCTTTCCATGACCCGGACGCTTCTTGGGCTTGGCCTTTGCTGTTGAACCTGCCTTTGCCCTAAACCCTAAACCCTAAACCCTAAGGCCGGTGTGCTGGGCGGTGGCGGTGGCGGCGGCTCCGAAGATTCTCATCCTTTTCAGGCTCCTCCTTCCCTGGCTTTAAGGGTTTAGGGTTTATGGGTTTAGGGTCTAGGGGTTTCGGGTTTAAGGGTTTAGGGGTTTAGGATTTAGGGGTTTAGGGCTTAGGGGTTTAGGGTTTAAGGGTTTAAGGGTTTAGGGTTCTGCTTCCAAGCATCATCATATCCATGAGAGCCAGAACTTGGGTCCTGCCGATGCCACCAGTTCTCGTCCCAACCACCGTCATCTGGGCTCTTGTTAAGGAACCTAATTTAAGCTACCATAAAAAGGATCTATAGTAAATTATGGGGTTTCCTTATTATGGTAGCTTAAATTACCCAGAGACTCCAATATCCCTTAATGAAGGAATATTCCTTAAATTATAGTAGGATCCCTAATATGATTTAAGGAATATTCCTTAATCAAGGAATATTGGAGTCTCTGGGTAAGTTCCTTACAAGGACCCAGTCTCGTCCCAACCACCGTCAGTTGCCACGCTGGCGACAAGTCGTCTCTGGCTTCTGAGACTTTTCCCTAAGGCTCCATGTAGCCATATAGTATGCACCTGGGCCTTAAAGTAACTATATAGGAACCCCTTTCAGGCCTAAGTATATACTAGATGGGTACATGGAGCCTTAGGGTTTGTGGGGACCGTAAACCCCCCTCTGCCTGAAACTTGTAGCTGAAAACCGAACCCTAAGGCTCCATGTACCATTATACGGTTGATGATATATATCCTGCATGACCTTAAGGACCCTAAACGATGGGAAATATGGCATATTCCTTATTATGGGTAATGCAGGATTTATATCATCAACCGTAGTATGTACTTGGGCCTTAAAGTACCTATATAGGGACCCTTTTAAGGCTTAAGTATCTACGATGAAGGTACATGGAGCCTTTGGGGAAGTCCAGGGTTTAAAGAACGGTATTATGAATGCTTTTTGGGTTTAGGGGCGCTGTAAGGGCTCCTATCCTTAAACCCTGTCCCTTCCGCTCGAATCCTCGATGATGGCCATAATGCGAACCCTAAACCCTAAACTACACACCCAAACCTCTCAAACCTGAAGGCTTAGGCTACAGCCTTAAGGCAAGCCCTAAGCCCAGGAACCCTAAACCCTAAACCCCTATAGCCTTGAGGTAACCCCTGAACCCAAGAACAGCTTTCCTTTAGGCCCCATTCTCTGCCCCGTAAGAGCTTCCTTGATAATCAAACCCCCTCCCTCAAGAAGCCAGACAACCGGGGTATACAGTATGTGGTCTGGGATCCCCTTGAACCTCCAACATGAAAGACAGGGGCTGTTTGGGTTTTGGGTTTAGGGTGTTAGGGTTTAGGGTTTCCTAAAACCTGCCCCAATTATTAAGGCCTGACGCTATACCTCCCGCCCCACACGGGAACCCACCCTCAGAACCCTTTAGAAGCGGGATTTGGTTCTGAAGCAAAACGTCTCTAACACCAACGGGTCCGAGTATATAACTATCATATACTCTCAAAAATCCTAACCGACATGACTACTATCCTAAACCCGGGTACCTAATTATTGGATCCTTTGGACCCTTGGGGTAAGGATCCAAAGATAATCATGGGATTCGGCCCCAATCACCAGTGCAGTCATTCAAAAGGGAAAAGGAGGGAACCTCAATGGGGACCCCTAGCCTATAATGGGCTATATAATGGGTATATAATAGCTATATTAAGTGTATATACCTAGGGGTCCTTATTAAGGGTCCCTCCTTCTACCCTTGGAGTCATGGTTTCTGGCAGACTTCCGTAATGGCAGTGCAGATGGACCCTCTTGGAATAGAGACCATTGGGCGTATAGTTGAGTTGGTGCTGGGGTATGGGATGGGTATATAGTCGCCGGGGAAGTCACCTTTAATGTCTTGGGCCATAATCCAATAACACCGAAACCGTAACCTTTGCCATCGTACTTATAGCCCCCCTAAACCCTAAACCCTAAACCTTGTCATCGTACATATAGCCCTAAACCCTAAACCCTAAATCCTAAACCCTAAACCCTTGTTATCGTACTTGCTGCCCTTGTTACCTCCTAAGCTCTCGAATGCTTGGAGCCCCAAGTCCCTAACCCTAACCCTTTAAGAAACCCTTCGGGCGGCTTAGGGTTTAGGGTTTAGGGTGTGTAGGGTTTAGGGTTTAGGGTTTAGGGTGGTTCCAAGTCTGTTGGTCCTTTAAGCACGTCTCCTTAGAAGGATCGTAACTACATGAAAAGACAAGGAGACATCACCACTGAACCAATTTCCATTATCACATACAGTGTCATTCCCCTAAGGCTCCATGTAGCCGTATAGTATACACTTAGGCCTTAAAGTGCCTATATAGGAACCCTTTAAAGCCTAAGTATATACTATACGGATACATGAACCCTAAACCCTTATGGTACCCTTCTAGAAGCCGTAAAGGCCACCTTAAAGGAGCCCTTAATACTATATGGGTACATTAGAAGCTGCCCCCACCCTGTAATAGTGACCATAAGGATTATATAGGATTATATTAGGGCCCTATTATATTCCCATTATGCCACTATTACAGGGTGGGGGCAGCTTCTAATGGGCACATGGAGCCTTAGGGTTAACTCGAGCTGCAGGCTCAGGTTCGTTGCGGCCTTAGAACTTCGGGCCAACAGTTCAGAACCTACAATCCTACATAGGCATCTAAGGACTCATATAGGGTTCCTTTAAAGGGATCTATAAGGGGTTCCTTTAAGGGATCTATAGGTTTTGGGGTTTAGGGTTTAGGGTTCAATCTAGGGATCTAAGGACTCTTGTATTAAGGCTTCTGGGCCCAAAGACCATAATATATACGGCTTTTGGGCTGTTTTGATTCCCACGGAATGTAGAGCTAAGGGTTTAGAGCCAAGGCTTTAGGGTTTGTAAGGTTTACAAATCAGATATATTGGAAACTCAAAGTCCCAGGGTTTGGGGTTTTCCCGCCCTCTACCACTATATGAGGGAACGTCTGCCCTGAACCCTCAGCCCCAAACACAAAACTCTAAACTCTAGTTGTGAACCCCAGGCCCTACTTGAACCGAATACTTCAAAGCCTCAACCCGAAACCTCAAGCCCAAATGAACCCCAACCCTAAACAGTAAACCCTAAACCCTAAAGCCTTAAACCCTTAAGCCCTAATCCCTAAAGCTTAAGCCTAAACCCTAAAGCCTTAAATCCCAAACCCATGAGCTACAAAGGCCCGAGCCTGCAGGTGAATGCAAGTCGCTGGACCGGTGGCATATGGTGGAAGTGAAACTCCAGGCGATTGAGAGAGGAGCATGCCTGACAGGTTTAGAGTTTAGGGGTTTATGGGTTAGGGGTTAGGGGTCTAGGGTTTAGGGTTTAGGGTTTCCCAAACGGTTGAGAGCGGAGAATCTCTGGCAGGTTTTGGAGCTAAGAGATTGGGGTTTAGCACCCCCAGAGCCCTAAAGCGCCATAACTCCTCTACAAATTTAGCTAGGCCGCCCTTAGGACTAAAATCAGAACAGTACTCTTATTATCCCCCGTAAGATATATTATGAGGTTAACTGAAACATAGTTCCTGAGAGTAAGAGCAGTAAAGCTAGGATTAAGGTTTAGGCTATCCTGGTCGGATGGACGGCTTTCGAGCTTTTACCTGTCTCGAGTGTTATATAGGTGAACCTTGAGCCCAACCGGTTGGTAATATCCCTGGTCGTACTGCTGATGGACAAAATCCTGCATGACCCTAAGGACTCTAAACTATGGGAACTATGGTATATTCCTTGTAATGGATCATGCAAGATTTATATCCCTAAACCCCAAAACCCTATAGATCCCTTAACAGGAACCCCTTAAAGGTACCCTTATAGATCCCTTTAAAGGAACCCTAGGATTTTTTGTCCATCAACAGTAGCTCTTCTGTAACAACTCCTGACATGACGTGGGCATCCTGACTCTGATCATATCGACCCTTCGGTTGGCCAAGGGGGGAAAAGGAGGGGCCCTTAATAAGGACCCCTATAGGTTAAGGGTTTAGGGTTTAGGGTTTAGGGTTTAGGGAACTCCAGAAAGTTGGAATATGGATTCATGGTAGGATCCCCTATAATTTACCTTAAAGGGGTTACGATAATGATATTCCAACTTTCTGACCCCTATAGGTTAAGGGTTTAGGGTTTAGGGTTTAGATAGGTATATACCGTTATATACCCTTAATATAGCCATTATACACCCATTATAGAGCCCATTGTAGGGTAGGGGTCCCCATTAAGGGTCCCTCCTTTCCCCTTTGATAGTTGGCCAAGGGGGAGGGGTAGGAGGCCTTAAATGCACGCAATAAGGATCTGATAAGGATCTAACTGCTGATGGACAAAATCCTGCATGACCCAGTATAAGGAATATACCATAGTTCCCATAGTTTAGAGTCCTTACGGTCATGCAGGATTTTGTCCATCAACAGAATGACTAACTAAGGAAAGCTAGTTCCCTACTCCCCCGGTTTAGGGCTTATAGGGTTTAGGGGTCCTATGATCTGATCTTGGGGCATTCCTTACTTAGGGGGCTTCGGGAGTCTCTGGAATGCCCGGCTTAGGTTTTAGGGTTCTGAGTATAGTATAGGGTTTGAAATTACTGTTTACAATTTAGGGTTTAGGGCTTCGAGTTCTAAAACCTGGGGTAGCCAATTCAGTGCAACAGACAATGGGTAAGGATCCCACGACTAATTCCTCGGTCTGCTCTCCTTTTTGAGCCACCTGGGTAAGTCTCATCCTGAAATTTCACAAACAGCGTGTTGCTGCTTGCGAGCGGACTCGAAGATCGTCATGTGAACGAGATGGTGTTTGCGATTGCCGCTGCAAAAGTTGCTGTTCTGTTGCTCCTGCTGCTGTTGCTGCTGGCCGCTGTTGCAGGTGTTGTTGTTGTTGGTGGTGGCGGTGGAGGTGGAACCCTGAACCCTGATTGCCAAATAATCCCTGGACCCTCAATAAAACCTGCATGAATCCTGAAGAAGCCTTAAATATCCGCTAAACAAACCCTGAATAACCACTTAAACGCTACACCAAACCTTGAATCTGAACAAACCCAAAAACAACCCTAAACCCTGAATAAGCCCTCAACCCCCAAACTGTTGCATCAAGACAAGACCCTCCCGCACTGAACTCTCGATCCTACAACTTACCCAGACGTTCCGAAATCCTTTTAAGTAAGGGCGTACCTTTGATCATGTTAGGGGTCTTACTGTTACTATTAGGTATATTCCTCTAGGATGCCCAGGAACCTAGGCATAAAAAGGGCTCCCGTTTTGGTATTGGGTACCTTTATAAAGAACCTAGGACCACGGAATAAGGGTACTACTGGGCATCCTAGTCATTGGTTATGCAGCATACCCAGACCTTCCAAAACTCCTTTAAATGAGGAAATACATAAGATGATATTAGGTGTCCTACTATAATTTTGCTGTTTTTCTTTTAACCCTAAATCCTGAACCATAAATCCTAAACCCTACAACGAACTTTAGCTAAGCAGAATTCTGGAAGTTCTGGGTATAACTTACATGAAACCTCGTTTGTTCCACACAGCCACCCGCAGGGGTTTGACAACACATTCTGTAAGGTTCCTTACTTGGAGGCCCAGGGGACTTAGTAAGTCGGTTCTAAGTAGGGTTATGACGGGGAGAAACTCCATTTCGGTTACTTGTAACTCTACTTGTAGAAGTAGTCCCCTGGGCCTCTAAGTAAGGGACATGTAGGTATTTGTAGGGTTTCAACAAAGGATTTTAAGGGTCCAAAGGACACAGTAATTAGATACCTTTGAAAATGATGTAAGTGAACACTTGGGAGAGTTATGATTTTTTGATACTGACACGTGCATCCACACACCTACGATACAACCACCTACAAGCCAAATCTTTTTATACTTGAAGTCTGCATCCTAAAGCCTTAGGCCCTGCATCCTAGAGACTCCTAAACCCTAAACTGTGAAAACCTAAACCTTTTTTGCGAAACTAAAATGCCCTGAACGCCCTAAACGGTGAACTCCTACAGCCTACAGCGACCTTAACCTTACACCCCAAACCCTGACCCTGCTTGGAGGCCCAGGGGACTTAGTAAGTCGGACATATTTGGGGTAACTCCATTCAGGGGACTTATAACTCTACTTATAGAGGGTTATAGTTGGGAGGGGGGGGTAATTCCATTTAGGGTAACCTGTAACTCTACTTCTAAACTGCTTACTAAGTCCCCTGGGCCTCTAAGTGAACCCCGAGAGGAGCCTGCGCACCGGGCAGAACGTGGCTGCAGTTGCAGGGAGACACCAATGCGAGCCCGGCAGGTCGATGGTCTTCGTACCAGAACTCGGCGGTGTTTAAGAGCTCGGGTTTAGGGTTTTGGGGTTTAGGGGTTCAGGGGTCTAGGCGCGAGGGTTTAGGGTTATGAGCTTTAGATGTCGTAGGGTTTAGGGCTTAGTTTGGGAGTTAGGGTTTGGGGTTGAGGGTTGAAAGTCTAGGTTACAGGTTTTGGGTTCCGTTACGGGCTCTGGACGTGTCTAGGGTTGAGTCTCTAGATTTAGAGTTGGTTTTGCATTCTGTTTTGTTTGAAATCTCCTACTTTTGGGCTCAGGGTTGCTCTGGGCTGTCTTTGCACGACAGATCTTAAATAGGCTGGTGGTCTCTCTATCTCCTCCAATGCTGCCTAATATAGCCCTATTAAGGATCCCGATATGCAGCCCCTTCAAACAGAAACCCCAAGTAAGGAGACTACCGACCTTTGTAATACAGGTCTGTCAATTAAACTTCGAGGTTCGAATGTAGTCTTTGGAATTAGGATCGATTCTGACGAGTACTAGGGGTTCCATGCGGACCGTGGTTGCCGTACTTATCTAGCCTTACTTACAAAGTCACCTGATCCATTATGTAGCGCCCTAACCCAATCCCTCATCCCCAAACCGTAACTAATTAAGCACCCAACCCTAAACCCTTAACCCCTAACCGTAAACCCCAAACCGTCACTAAGCAGCCCAAGTGGCATCCGCTGTGACGTCAAAAGGGCTCAGCTGTAAGCCCTCCGAGTGAGCATGGGTATCCAGGCAGGGCCCAGAGCTAGTGAAATTGGCGGCAAGCCTGGGATTTGTGGCTTGGTTTAGGGTTTAGGGTTTAGGGTTTAGGATGTGGGGCCATACTGTAACACTTAGAGGCCCACGGAACTTAGTAAGTAGTTTAGAAGTAGAGTTACAGGTTACCCTAAATGGAATTACCCCACCCCCCAACTATAACCCTCTTATAACCGGCTTACTAAGTCCCCTGGGCCTTCAAGTAGACCCTGAATCATAAACCCCTAAACCTAAACCGCCTTCATAGATCCTTTGTGGAACCCTTAAAGGAACCCGAGACCCTAAACCCTACTCCACCTAAGTCCCCTGGGCCTTCAAGTAGGACTGAGAGTTTCGAGTGGAGGATTCAATGCTAGGGGTACAGGGCTTGGGGTTCGGAGTCGGCCCCAGAGACTCCAATATCCCTCCATTAAGGAATATTCCTTAAGTCATATGACTAATCCTACTGAAATTTAAGGTCTATTCCTTCATTAAGTTATAAGGGGTGCTGGAGTCTCCGAAGATTTCGGGTTTAGGATTTAGGACCCTCAGGGTCCAAGTACCCACATAGTAGGGTTTCACGGTTCAAAAACCATTCAGAGTATGGATTGTGGGCCCTAAAACCCTACTATTTGGGTAATTGGACCGTCGGGGGGATTTAGAGCACTGGATTCCTCACAGCACAAGCGAAGCATTCTTGACAGAGCCCATTGGGTTTACAACTTGCGGTTATTTCCCCTCCTAGTCCCTGCACCCTACACCCTGAACCTTCTAACCTATAGAACCATGGTAGCACTGAATAAGGGCATATACCCCGAACCTACTACTCCCCTTGTCTCTCCCCAAATGGTCGATGTGCCCAAGTGGTTTGTTCTCTGGCCTTAACTTGGCTGACGTCTGAACCCCTCCCAAAAGTTAAACTTTTGGCCTCCTTACAATAGTTCATAAAGAAAACCAAAACCCTAAGCATCAACCTAGCCCAAAAGCCTTATATAATTTGGTCCTTGGGCCCAAAAGCCTTAATTAATACATATATATATATATATATGAGTCCTTAGATGCCTAGGGAAAGAAGTGAAAGCCCTAAGAGCCAACCTGAAGAACGCCAAGTTAATGCAGTCCCCATTCAGGAGCTTTTGCGTCATGATACTATTTTGGGGGCTCCTTATTCTAAGCATAAAGGGCACCGAAACTCTATAATTAGTAAGGCCCCTATAGTACCCTTATAGTATCCTCTGATGTGGCGGGGGGTGTGGGGAGGAAGTCGCTTGGGTTTTGGGGTTTAGGGTTTAGGATGTAGGGTTTAGGGTTTGGGATTTGGGGTTTAGGGTTTAGGATTTAGGGTTTAAGGTGTGGGGTTTAAGGTTTAGGGTCAAAGGTTTAGGGCTTTGCATATTACAGCCAGGATTTCTTCTTCTTTGGCCGTGCTTGGACCCGTTCGGGTGCGGGCAATACAACAACATGCAGATCTAGTCCACGGTTCAGGGCTTTTTGTGGTCTTGGGGAACTTTGCAAGCACACTCCTGGTGAGAACGACGGTTCAGCGTTTCGGGCTGAGGGCTTAGAGATGTGGTTTTGGAGCCTTCGCACCCTAAAGCTAACGCCTAAAGCCTGAACCCTAAAGCCTAAACCCAAAGCCCTAAACCCTAACCCCTAAACCCCTTAATGTTTTACACATTGTCTGTGTCGGGCCCGGTGATATCAGGCTTAGGCATCTTGCGGGGCCAAGGCTGCAAGAGGTTTAGGGTTTCAGGTTTGAAGGTCTACGGTTCAGGGTTCTAGGGTTTGAGGGTTTAGGGTTTTAGGGCTTCAAGCCTGGAGATATAGACGTAGGGTTTAAGCTTGCTGGAGGGACTCATGCGAATCGGAGCGCTCACGCAACAAGAAACCCAGAGACTCCAAAACCTCTCAATTAATGAATATACTCGCAACTATAGTATATAAGATCCCTAACATGATTCAAGGAATATTCTTTAATTGAGAGATATGAGTAATCCCAAAAACTAAACCCTATAGATCCCTTAAAGTGCCCTTATAAGGAACCCTAGGTATATTCCTTATTAAGGGATGTTGGAGTCTCTGGAAGCGCCACAGGCGCCAACAGAGCTCGCCACGCCCCGAAGGTATCGACAGAAAGGAATGGCATGGAATGGAAACCTAGAGTTCAGGTAACTCCGAAAACTAAGGGTTTCCAGGCTTCAGGGGAGTCGGGCTACGAGCTTTCGGCTTTGGGGAGTATGGGAGTTTCCGAAAATTAGGGGTACCTTATTTTGGGGTCCTTATAATGAGGATCTTATTAGTTAGGGTTCAATATTAGGGTCCCCTATTTTCGGAAACTCCCAGTTGAGAAACTTGCCCAGAGGCCCCATAGTAGTTCCTTTTTGGGATTAATTACCTCATAGGATTCTATATACGAATCCAGAAAGGCACTACTTTGGGGCCTGTGGGTAAGGGCTAAAGCGACTCTGAATTAACGCCCAAGAGAGTCCAAGAAACGACAACTCACTCAACCCGCACCCTAAGGGCCCAAAGGACCGAATAAGGTAAGTCAAAGCCAGCGACGGGGTCCGAATCCAGCTATCCAACCGTGGCGGATGCGACCGCTGCTCGATCTGCGATGCACAGCTGGGGGCGTGTGGGCCTAAGCCTGGACTCAAACCCTCCAAAACCCATAACCCCCGCCCTCCCCAAACTGAACCTCTTAATTGGATTGTTAAAGCCCCAACCCGAACCCCCTCATCCCTGGACCAGGATACATTACGCGCATAAGACCACAGAACACGCCCCAAACCCTAACCCAAAAACCCTACTCTCTAAACCGTAAACCCTAAACCCTATACCCTAAACTCTAAACCCCACCCTGAACTCTAACCCCAAAACCCTACTCACCCTAAGCCCGAGGGGGCTCGGGCAAACGGTTCGGGGCGGGCTCAAGGTTCGGGTTCAGGGCTTAGGGTTTAGGCTGCCTGCACCGGGTTCTTCTAAAGGTTCCTTTTGAAGGGGCCTATAAGGGTTACTATAAGGGATCTATAAGGGTACTATAAGATTACAAGGGTTCTTAATAATTTGTAATAAGGAACCCCCAAGATAGTGATGGTAATTATTCAGGCCCCTATATTACCCTTGTTTGTAGCCCCGAAGTACCTCTTCGTGCGGGGTCTAAGAGCCCATTACGCGGCAGTTAGGCTGGTCCTGGTAGGGCTTGGGCTGTTGGCTTGAGCCTGGAGGTTTTAGGATTGGGCTTTTGGCTGCTGGCTGGCTTTTGACTTCAGACTGTGGGTGTTAGGCTTTACCTCAACCCTGAATAACCTACCTTTTTAGTGTTCCCTATTATGATTTCTTTATATATTTCTTCAGGGTTAAGGTAGGACTTGGGCGTTTGGCTTTGTGTTTTTGACTTCACGCTTCAGGTCTTGGCGTCGGAGGCTTCGGCTGTAGGCTTTCTGTTTTGTCTGGGGCTTAGGCGGTCAGTAGGTTTACAGTAGAAGCCAGAAAGTTGGAATATCATTATCGTAGCCCCTTTAAGGTAAACTATAGGGGATCCTACCATTAATCCATATTCCAACTTTCTGGAGTTCCCTGTAGGTGTTCAGGGCTTAGGGCTTCGAGGGCTCTTGGCTTCCGGGCTTGGGGTTTCTAAGTTGAAGAACCAAAAACTGAAGGAGCCCGTCCCACCAGAGGTCCAAGGGTCCATGTACCCGAGTAAATAATATGTACTTCGGAAGTAAAGTACCTACATAGGGATCACAATCCGACCAACAACCGTGATGCTTGATTCTGCTCGATAAAGCACCTCAACCAAACCCAGAAGCCGAAACGACCTAAACCCTAAACCCCAAGCCGCGATATCGGTCCCCCCAAGTGCCACTTAATGGGCTCTTAGATAGCTCATCAATTCGAGGCTACAACAAAGGGTACTTGGGGGGGCGAGGCAAAGCCAAAAAACTATACCCCAAACTATAAACCCTAAACACAAAAGCCTAAACCCTTAAACCCCCAACCATGGCCCTACACCCTCCCCTAAGGGTCCAAAGGACCCAATAATTGGGTACTTATGTTTCGGATAGTAGTTATGTAGGTTACTATTATTTTGGAGAGTATATGATAATTAGGTACTTGGACCCTTAAAGGGAACTCCAGAAAGTTGGAATATGGTTTCAGGGTAGGATACCTTATAATTTACCATACAGGGTTTAGGATAATCTTATTCCAACTTTCTGGCTTTTACTTTAGGGCTCTGATAAAACCGGGCCTGGATCCGCTCCCGCCCATCCGGGGGAGGCGTCGTCTCGGGCAGCTCACCGGAGCTCGTGGTGCGCGTAGAGCTGGTGGCCGTGGTCGTCTCGGAGCTCGTGGGCGCATCCGTGGGTGGCTCTGTGGTATCCTTGGCAAGTCTCCCAGGACTCAGAAGGACTTGCCCTGAGGGTCCATGTGCCCAAACTTGCAAATCGGGTTCCTTTAAAGGCTACTTTAAAGGTTCTATACGGGTACCATAAAGGTTTGGGGTTTAGAGATTAAGGGTCCATGTGCCGAAATAGTATATACTTTGGCCCCAGAGTACCTATATACGGCCGATGTATGTGCTATTTGGGTACATGGACCCCAGGGCCGTAAACCCACCCGAACACAACATGCCGTAGTTGAGGGGCACGCGAATATGTGTTTCAATGCGTTTGTTCTGGGAATCCAGTTGTGGAGTCGCTGGCCCTAGATAGCCTACTATAATTCTTTAGAGGCCCAGGGGACGTAGTAAGTCGGTTTGTAATCGGGGTGATTTAACTCATTTTAAATTAGGGTAATTACTTATAACTCTACATACTTATAACCTACTTACAAAGTCTCATGGGCCTCTGGGTAGGCTTGGGACGTAGCCGGGAAGCGCCGCGGCTGGGCGTCAAGATCGGGACATGCGAAGTTCCAAAATACAGAATAACGACAGATCCAAATACCAGGCCGCACAGCTGACGATGCCTTTTCTCGTGAGATCTCTTCAGCTGATCAGAATGTGCCATGTTATGGGAGTTTGGGGTCGTAACTTGGTACGGAGGCTTGGAACTTGTGGCTTCATGAAGACATGAAGCCCTAAACCCTAGACTGCTAATGCCTGGTTCTACCGAGGCCAGAATCAGTCAAGGAGCACCGGACTTGATGAATCGGGTTATAATAACCTTACGGGTTTAAGGGTCTGGACCACGGCATAACCTTCCAGGTGGAATATATGGGAGTTTCCGAAAATAGGGGACCCTAAGATAGTACCCTAAAAGGGAGGATCCTTATTGCAAGGACCCCAAAATTAGGTACCCCTCATATTCGGAAACTCCCATATCATATAGGAGCCAAGTTGCCGGAAAGGGGGTCGGAGATGGGTACGCGCACATTCCACAAGTGAACGGGCACATCTGGCAGGTGTTCAGTGTATGATCCGAAAAGTCTAAGGAGGAACGGGAAGAGGTTAGAATTCCACGCCCGAATAACGGAACAGAATCCACATGTGCATACGTATCGTCTTCGCTGGATGCTTACATTCTATAGACAAAAAAGACGGATGAATTAGATCCTGAAACAGTTCTGAGCTTAACATTCGACACTCGAAATGCTGTACAGCACCAAGCACCCACTGACCTTAGAAGCCGTATATGACCCTTCATGTAGGAACTTGATGCAGCAACCTTGGGCCTTTATTACGGTTCCCTTATTACGGTTCTTTATATGATTATGAGCCCCACGATTTGGGGGTTAGAGGCCCGGGGTTTCTTTAATCAGGTTCGTACATTAATCCCTAAAACACATCCACAAGCCCTGGCTAGAAACCCTGAAGAGTGCAAGCATGAGCAATCCAAGTGCTGAGTTATCAGTGCCGCTAAATTCTAGACCTTCAGTCCCTGCACCCTGACCCCTAAACCGTCCCTAAACCCCTAATAATATACGGGCCCTAATAATTAGCCCAATCTACTATAATCACAACAAGGAACCCTATTGGTGATTATTTTGGGCCCCTAGTCCAAAGCCCTTCTCCAAAAGACTTAGCATTTTGAGGTTTGGGGATTAGGGGGTTGGGGTTTAGGGTTTATTAATAGGGTTTAGTCACGGATAGGATGGGCAACTTGAGGGATTTAAGATCTGTGTCTTGGGGGTTAGGGTGTATGGTGCAGAGTTTAGCATATGTGCGAAGATACAGTAATGAAGATCATCTCGATTCTCAGAGGCTCGAAAATTGAACTTGTGAATTAGTTCCTATCATGGGGCCTGAAGCATATCTTAATAAGATTTTGGGGTGCCTGCCAATACTCTACTTCTCATAAGGGCTCTAAGGACTAATGTAGGAACCTGATTCAGAAACCCTGGCCCTATAATCCCAAAATAATAGCATTCATACAAAGAACCCTAATAAAGGCCCAAGGTTTGCTAATCAGGTTCCTAGATTACTATATTACCCTTATAGATCCTTATAGTAACCCTTATAAACCCCTTTGAAGGAACCCTAAGAGAGGCCCTACGTTTGTCTTAGTACAGCCTGGTCGTTTAACTACATTCGGTACTGCAAGGGGGCTACCCTTGCCGAGTATCCCGACCCTAAGTTCATAAATAATTAGAATAGGGTTCCTTTACAGTAGAAGCCCAAAAGTTGGAAACCTCATAGCCCCAATCCTTAAGAGTGATGTATACGGAATCCCAGCACTATTTGGCCTTAACCCGGTTCCCAACTTTATGGGGTTTACTGTAAAGGGGAGAAGGGCTACTATGAGGATTTAGTATTGGGGTCCTGGTTAGTTAGAATAGGGTTTTGGCGCCCATTCCACTTATTACAGTTATATTTATAATTAGGAACCCCAAAGTAGCATTGGTAATTATCAAGACCCTAAATTACATGTACAGTTCTCCTAGGAAAACCTATGGCTGAGCTGGGGCGAAACCCTGAAATACCTACCTTTTCTAGACACATATATATGCAAATCAGAATAAAGAGCCCTAAGAAGAAAGGTTCTTTAGGGTCCAGATACGGTTTAGGATGGTTTAGGGCGGCAGCCTTAAGGGCTACTGTTTCGACTGCTCAGTAAGGGCCAGAGTAGGCAAGCGTTTGGGGCTGGAGGTTCAGAATTTGAGCTCAACCCTCAGCCCAAGATTCCCCAAAACCTAACTCTCCGAACCCTAAATTCCAAAACAGCTGAACCTTTAGAACTCAAACTGTAGAACTGGCCCCAACACTTCCTGAAGCCTACATCCAAACCCCGGATAAGTACCATCGAAAACGACTCTAAGCGAGAAAATGGCCAGACCCTATAAGTTCATTCATGATAAACAAAAATCTTAAACAACACAGAAATAGCAAGCAGACTGCAAAAGCAACAACCAAGTTCGGGGGCGCACAGTAATTACTTTAGTGCTAACCCGCAGAGAGAGCATTGGTGAAGAATTGGCTTCTGTATAAAACGCTAAAGCATCTCCTCAGGATCTGCGCAGTGGCCCCATGTCTGCAAAACAAAACACAAACCGCCTATCCTCGACGAAGAACCTCTCTCAAAACTCGTCCAACAAAACAGACTTACAGCCTAAACCGAAATGAAGCGAAACACTGCACCCGGAAACCCCGAACTCGAAACCGGACGAAGATTTGGATACTGCGTGGCAATGTAGCGCCCTGAAGCCCCACACTCTAAACGATTAAAAACGCCTGGCCCCAACACTTCCCCAAAGAAATGCAGGTTTCCGAAAGAAAATGGGGGACAGCCCAAAGCAGTACCCATAAGTAGTAGGATCCTTATTAGAAGGACCCAGAAATAAGGTACCCCTGATTTTCGGAAACCCTAAACCCCTACAGAGCCCTTTAAAGGAACCCTTATAGTACCCTCACAGTAGCCCTGAAAGGAACCCTAAGGAACCCCTAATTTTCGGAAACTCCCAAATGTGACCTGGCTGACCGAGAACTGATCGTCGGCGGGCCAAAGATCTTGGCAACTGCCCTTCAGCGTTTCACATGTAAGTAACGAGCTACAGCAAGGGTTGCTATACGGCTCATTATAGTAACAGGTCGGCTACTTTGGAGAACTCCTATAAGAGGTTGTCAAGGGGTGTTGAGTGACGATAAAAAGTTCTTTTGAGATCCGATTTATGAAGTCGCGCTAAAGACGCTCAGGTCGAGGGTTTGGAGGCTTAACTACCCATAGGCCCCAAAGTAGTTCCTTTTGGGGGTCCATATTTAGAATCCTATAAAGTAAGCCCAAAGAGGAACTACTATGGGGCCTAAGGGTAGGGACTTCTGGTTTGAGGGTGTAGGGTTTTAGGAGTTCGAGGGATCCAGGAGTCGCGAGGTTCAGGGTTGAGGGCTCAGGTTTAGGTTAGGGTTTAGGGTTTAGGGTTATATAAGGCGTACTGGATATAAAAAGCATTTACTTAGCAGCGACCACGTGATATAGGCCATAAGGCCTACAAGAAGGGGTAGCACAACGCATAGTGCGGCCGATAGTATGACAAGGTAAGTGTTCGAAGTTCAGGCTGAGGAAGTTATCATTCGTGAGAACAACTATACGGCTTAAAACTAGAAAATCCGGGGTTCAAGGTTCAACCCTATAACCTAGACTCCTACACACCCAAACCTAAGCAAGTTTATGGCTCTTGGCAACTAATTTTCAGACCTTCGGTCAATGCTTCAGCTTCGGGTGACAAAAAGTTCATACTTTTCGGCTGAAGCAGGTGGAAAATCAACTTGTCTTGCTTCTGTTGTTTCTAGTTGTCTTTTAATCTATTTGGTGCTTCTGCAAACTGCTTTGCACTAACTTATCTTCGGGGTCGGGGATTCAGAGCGCACAGGGCCCCCTATCAAACCGAAAGCGTCAGCATCCCTGAACCTAAACCCTAAACCGCCTCTTGCTAAACCCCACATCCCCAAAAGCTATTCCCAAGTCCCCAAACCCTAATTACTAAATCCTAAACCTCTGAAACACCCTCAACAGCCCAAACTCCACCGCAAACCCTAAAACCCAAGCTCTTACTCTTGGCTTTGGCTGGTCCGTCTCTGGGAGCCTATCGCAAATTCGGGTTAAGCTTGGGTACTGCCCCCACCCTGTAACAATTAAAAATACTATCTATGGTAGCTGTTACAGAGTAGGGGCAGTACCCAGGGTGTAGAGGTTTAGGGGGCTACGGGCGTTTAGGGGCTTAGTAAGGTTTTGGGATGAGTACTACTATTACTACCTACGAATACTACGAATACTTCGATTACTACGACGACGACTACAACTAGAACTAGAACTAGATCTAGAACTAGAACTAGAACTACAACAAGTACTACTACTACTACTACTACTACTACTACTACTACTACTACTACTACTACTACTACTACTACTGCTACTACTACTACATGCTGGTGGTATGTAGATGTATGTAGCATTTATTTCTGTAGGTTAACATGCTGCATCATGACATGTAGCTATGACCTACCTTGATCTACTTACTATGCCATCGCAGCAAGGAAACGCTGACGCTGCAGCGCGATCACCTTCTGTGACTGCTTCTCGGTGCAAATCAAGTAGGAGAGCGTGGAAGTCATCCGCAGGCCGCAGGGCATGCAGCCGCCGGGCCGCCAGCGAGCTCGCCGCACATCGGGGCTCTCCCTGGCCACCGGCATCATTCAACTGCTGGGCAGCTGTACCAGCGACTCCAGCGACCTTGCCTATGGTTGAAAACACAAAGTGTGGCGTACCGCCAGACCGCGGCAGAGGTGCGGACCTTTGTCACATCCCACAGCCGGTGCATTGCGTTGCAAGACATGACGCGCTAGATCGCCAATCACAGATCGGGCGACGGCGATCGGTGCTAGCCGTTAGCCGCACATACAAGGGCCTGTATAATTACCTATACTACGTTGGGGGGTTCCGTTATTGTATTTGTAGGAAATGGGCCCCGGAACCCTATTCCACTCACTAAGGCGCCTATATTAGCCATCAGCACTCTGTCTACGCCTCCTACTTGTGGCAGAGGTGGGCATGACACTGCCCGGATTCTACAATGCCGGCATGTCAAGTTACCAAAGCTAGGATACCCAGTAACCTAAGAATCAAAAGGCCTCTCTTCTTGGTATTGGGTAACTTTTTAAGGAACCTAGGACTACAGAAAAGGAATAAGGGTACTATACTGGGCATCCTAGAAAGAGCATGAACACTACACCTACACCCTTCCTAAAAGTTCAACCCAGGGTTTGGGAATTTTGGATCCATGGTAGGACGTCGGAGTCTACTATGCAATCAATACATCGGGGACCATAGGGGTGTAATGCAGTTTAAGGTTTTGGGGGTTCAGAGTTCAGGATTTGGCCCTAAACCGTGCTCCGACCAGGGTTTAGGGTTTAGGGTTTAGGCTTCTTGGCATCTGGCTTTCGAAGGTGGTATCAAGGGTTTATGGTTTATGGCTTAGCACTGCAGGTCTGATGTCTTCGGCATACTGACTGTTTAGGGTTTGGGGCTTTGGGTTGTTCTAGAAAATTGAAAATCCTGTTGCCGTTGAGTTAGAGTTAGAGCATAGGGGATAGCTGCACTAATCCAGAAACCCTGAACCCTTATCTTCATCCTTCGCCCCAATCTCTACGCCTCAGCCTTAAACCCTAAACCCCAAACCTCACCCTTAAACACTGTTAGCCTCAGGGCCCTCTTTCCAACTTTCCGGAGTTTACGCCATAGTGCTGGAGATCGGAGCTTCGTGTCATGGCATGAGGTTAGGGTTTAGGGATCACGCTTTAGGGCTTAGGGTTTAGGGGTTTAGGGTTTAGGGATCACGGTTTAGGGTTCAGGGGTTTAGGGGTTTAGGGTTTAGGGATCACGGTTTTGGGGCTCACCTTGAACTACCAAACCCTACTGCATTGTAGGTTCTGATTATAAACCCCAAGACAGAATCCTTAGGGAGCCTATCAACAAGTAGGTGTTGGTAGGCTAAGGTTGGGTTTAGGATTTAGGAGCGGTTGAGCTGGCAGGCTATGCGGCTTATCTCGGGACTACGGGTAGCATTTTTTGGCAAAGCCGACCTGAGTTCCAAGCTCCAAAACCTCAAGCCCTGAACCGTGAAAAGGGTTTAGGGTCTAGGGTAGTGGGGGTTTAGGGTGTAGGGGTTTAGGATTTACCCTGTAAGCCCCAAGCCGAAAGCCCTAAAGACTAAGTCAACCCTAAACCCGAAGACCTAAAACATGAGACCCAGAACCCCCCAAAACCTGAAGACCTGAACCCGGAACCGCCAATGCAGCTTAAACCCAAAACCTCCCTAGCAGGGTTTAGGGTTAGGGGTTCAGGACTTGGGGTCTAGGGCGCTCCACTCTAACTCAAGGGGGTATATAGCCTAGTGATCCCTAATTCTCCCTAGTACTCCCTAAGGTTCCCTTACAGTCCCTTCAGGATTCCTTATACCCTCCCCCCTTGAACCACCCTCCCTTAAGGATCCTAAGATAAACCCTAAACCCCAAAGCCTGAATCCTGAACCCGAAGCCCGCCTCGAGGTGGATGCACTCGGGGTGCTCATCCATAGGGCTGACGTTGGTACAGTCCTCCGCCAACAACACAACCTAGGATACCCAGTAACCTAAGAATAAAAAGGCCTCGCTTTTTGGCATTGGGTAACTTTATAAGGAACCTAGGACTACAAAAAGGGAATAAGGGTACTACTGGGCCAACAACACAACAAGGGAGAAAGCTCGCAGTTGCAGAGTTCACGGGAGCAGGAGCCCAGATGCAAGCTAGGACTTAAATCTCGTATGGGCTTGTCGTGGTTTCTCATCAACCCATGGCACCAACAATATGTTCAACAAGACCTAACCCCTATTGCCTAAACCCTTCAAAGCCTAGAACGCGACAAGAAGGCTGTAAGAACACGATGAGGCTCCGCCGATCGAAAGCTTGAACTCCGCTGAAGCACTAATTGGAAACTCCAGACGCCCGAGGCCCAAAGTTGGAACCTCAACGAGACCCGACAATCACGTTGGAAAGGTTCGATACTAATCCAGGAGCACTATAAAACCAAAACCCCTAAACCCTTAAACTCCTAAACCCTTAACCCTCAAACCATCTCAAACCCCTATCCCCCCAAACCCTGAAACCCTGAACCCTAAACCCAAGACCCTTAAACCCCTAAACCATAAATTCCAACAAAGAAAAAGTGGGTCCTCCCGACTCTGCAGCTCGAAGGAGACCTCCGTCGCTTGGGCCGATGGCCCTACGATCGTGATGTGATGCAGTCGGCTGCCCTCAACGACGATGTACCTGCATCGTTTAAGCTTTAGGGTTTAGGGCTTGAGAGCTCAAGGTTTAAAAGGGTTCTCGGTGTAGGGCCCCAAGAGCACCTGCATTGTTTAGGCTTTACGGCTCCAGTACTGGATTTAGAGCTTGAGCGCTTATTGATTTAAGGCTTGAGTGCTTATTCGGTCTAGCAGCAGTTTGGGTTTAGGACTCCAGGAGTACCTGCATCATTCAGGATAAAGAGCTTGAGTGTTAAAGGCTTAGAGCGGGTTTAGGGTTTAGCGATTTAGGGTTCCATCAAAGGGGAAAAGGAGGGACCCCTAATGGGGACCCCTACCCTATAATGGGCTATATAATGGGTACATAATGGCTAGATTAAGGGTATATACCTAGGGGTCCTCATTAAGGGTCCCTCCTTTTACCCTAGCAAGGGTGTTCTTGACTCTTGGAACTTTCAGGCTGTAATGCGCTCCCGGCATCGGATTGGGCTTGAGGGTTTGAGTTTGGGGCTTGGGATTCAGGGTTGAGGATCGGGACTGGGGTCGTTTTTTTTGGACGCCTTTTTCCCTCAGCCTTACGGTCTCGGAACATCCGGTGCCGTAAGGCTGAGGAAAAAGGCGTTCAAAAAAAAAGGGTCTAGTGTTCAGGGTTTAGGGCGGGCCAGGATAACGGGAAGCAGGGTTAGGACTTCCCCAAAGCTCTAAACTCCTGGGCTCTTGTGAAGGAACTGAACTTAAGTTACCATAATAGGGATCTATAGTAAATAGTCAATAATATGGATTCTCTACCATGGTGTTCTTGTTGAAGAATTTATTTCAAGTTACCAGAAATACGGATCTATAGTAATTCATATGGTCTCTCTAAGGTAACTTAAACCTTAAACCCTGAACCCTTACAGGAGCTCTTATGAATCCCCTCTGGAACCCTTATGGTTTCTGCTTTCTGGTAGTTTAAGTTAAACCCCTTTGCATGAATCCAGACCCAGGCCTTGTATCGTAACTCTCCAGTCGCTTCTGGGGTTTAGGGCGTAGGGCTTAGGGGTTTAAGGTTTAGGGGTTTAGGGTTTGGGATTTAGGATTTTGGGTTTAGGGTTAGGATTTAGGATTTAGGGTTAGGGTTTAAACAGTTCTTGAATTTGACCCTGTGTACGATGTTGAACCCAAGTGAAACAAATAGCTCGTCCTGGTAATACTAGACCCCACAGAAATTACTCTAGCCCTCAACCCTACCCTTGAACCCCTAAACCCTAGAACCTTGCACTCTACAGCCCTAAACCCCAAAGCCCTAAATTGAGACCCCTGAACCCCTAACCCCTAAAGCCCTGCCTGCACCCTAAGTCCCTAAACCTCTCAACACTAGAGCTCCACTCGGAGTTCGACTATAACATAGATAGGACCCCTAAACCTAAAGGAACCCTCAAAGGATCCCTTAAAAGGAACCCTAAAACGGGATCCCTCAAAGGATCCCTTAAAAGGAGCCCTAAAACGGGATCCCTCAAAGGATCCCTTGAAAGAAACCCTTAAGCGGGATCCCTTAAAGGATCCCTTAAAAGGAACCCTTGAAAGGGATCCTTATATGATTTAGAGATCTTGTAGTTCGAATCTCCTGGGCGCCGCCTTGAGTCTGGAGGCACCGCCCGCTCACGTTCCTGGCAGCGGGGAGAGCTCTGGTTCCGGAAATAACTCGGGGGTCCTTCTATGATTCTATTTCTGCACCTTAAGGTGAGGTAAGGCTTAGGACCTCTATTACGAGTATTTTCTATTCCTCTACCTTAACTTAACGATCCTTGATTTAATTTTTCGGGTGTCTCCGGTTTCAGGTTTGGGGTTCAGCAGCCAGGTTCAGCCGCGAGGGTTATTGTCGGGGTTCAAAGGGTAAATTGGGCTTGTGGTTGGGGACACCCAGACCTTCCCTTAATTAAGGAATATACCATCGGGTTGGCTTATGGCAGGATCCCTAATAGGCCCTCATATGATTTCAGCCATATATTCCTTAAGTATTACGTACGGGATTTTCGAAGTTCTGGGCATCTATGGGAATGTTTAAGGCTCTACTTAAAGGATCATGGGACTTAGTAACTAGGGTTATACTGTTATACTTACGGTAACTATGCTTGTAACTTCTCATAACCCCAATTAAGGTGCTTATAACCTTACTAAGTCCCATGATCCTTTGAGTAAGGTGTCAAGGTAATCAAGATATTGGGCTTGGAGGGCTGGGGCTTAGGGGTTTTGGGTTTGGCTTTGGGGTTTAGGGGTTTAGGGTTTAGGGCCAGGATACTTTGTCTTTTCCCCCACGCTCGGTACTTTCAATTCCGCAATGTCTCGGAGTCTTTGCCCGTGTGCTCGAACCCTTCTCCAACCCGCGCCAACCCAAACTAAGGACTCACCTCGCCCCAAACTCCCCCCTTACCTGAAGACCCAACACCTAACCAAGATGCCATTTTTCTACAAGTCCTGGCTTCCACTTCCCAATTCAAGGCTTAGGGTGGCCCAAGGGCCCTAGTTCAGGGTTCACGGCTCCGTCTCTTTCAGCTGTGGCTGGTAGTGACGATATATTCCGAAACGATTTCATGCGCAGAGAAAGTGCTACCGAAGGGCTTCTTGCTAAAGGGTTACTATCGATATTGTAAGGTCCTGGTTGAGAAGACATAATCCTTGAACCCAATATCCATGAAACCAATGTCCCAGGAACTTAGGTGGTCTGTTTGAGCGACTCCAACAAGGAGAACTGGCTTGTTGAGCACATGAAGGATGATGAACATACGCTCGACATCCTGCCAATCACTATAAGACATCATAAGCAGACTCTCCAAAATTATGAGAACCATCTGAAACCCAGAGCCCCAAAGAATCTGAACTCTTGCCCTTGTCCCCTAAACCTTCACCCTAAACCCTAAACCCAAAAAACACCCAAAATTCTGAACTCTTACCCTGGCCCCCTAAACCCTCGATCCTAAATCCACAGCCCCAAAAACCCTAGACGCACCCGAAACCTCGAGGCCATCCTCGACCCTTTAACCCTACTTGGAGGCCCAGGGGACTTAAGGGTTTGTTTAAAGGGTTCCTTTAAGGCAAAAGCCAGAGAGTTGGAATATGATTATCCTACCCCTTCTATGGTAAAGTATAGGGTATCCTACAATGAAACCATATTCCAACTTTCTGGAGTTTCCTATAAGGGTTTCTAGAAGGATTCTATAAGGGTTCTCATTATGGTACTTGGAGGCCCAGGGGGACTTAGTGGTTATAAGTAGAGTTATAAGTACCCTAATTGGGGTTAACCCAACTATAACCCTACTTAGATCCTGCTAACCCTAAGGCTCTAAGGACTCATATATTAAGGCTTTTGGGCCCCAAACCATACTACGTAAGGCTTTTGGCCCACTTTGAGCCTTAGGCTAAGTCCCTTGAGTCTCCAAGTAAGACCCTAATTCCTAAAACACAAGTAGCAAATTCCCTTGGATAGTTTAAACAACGATGTCCTTACTTTGGAACCCCTAAATTATACCCTAAACCCTAAGCCCTGAACAATTCTTTAGTAAAGTGGAACCCCTAACCATACGGCGCATTACCGGCCTCGCCGGTCCGATCTTTGGCGCGCACTTCGCCGCAGCTGTGGCACTTGAAGATGACTCTCCTCACCTTTTTGGCGTTTACGGTTTATGGTTTTTCTAGGATACCCAATAACCTAAGAATAAAAAGGCCTCTCTTTTTGGTATTGGGTAACTTTATAAGGAACCTAGGACTACAAAAAGGGAATAAGGGTACTACTGGGCATCCTAGTTTTAGAAGTTGTGGTGGAGACTAACTATAGAGCTTTGACTTCATTTGGGTTTAAGCTCTGCATGGGTTTCTATGATGACTCTTATGACATCTTATGACCTTTTTAGAAGTTGGGGTTAAGGATTCCACGCTTGCTTTTGAACGTCTTGTTCCGTCTGCCAACCCGACATTCAGAACATCTACTTCAGATGAAACGGTTTTTGGTTTGCGGCTTTAGGCACGGATTTCCAGAAGCATTCCAAAGAAGTTAGCCCTTTATGCGTATAGTTGCGTATTTAAAATGTTCCGAAAAGAGTTTCTCTGGGTCCTGACACACATAGGTATTTATAATAAGGACCCAAAAAGGGACCCTGCTCGTAATTTTGACAACCACCCACATGTTGACTTGAACTTCTGCCAATTGCTTGGTTGGTTGCTGGGCACCTTGAGCACTGCACGTCAGTACCAACCTCGAGCCTCCATCTTTCCAACCCTCTGATATAGGGCCCCCAAAAAAGCACATAAGCAAAAGTTAGGATAGGGATATCCCATATAAACCTCCTTATAATGAAGCCCATAAAGGTGGTGATATCCCTATAAAATGCTTATGCTTTATGTGCTTTTTTGGCCCCTAATGATGTACGTGCGCATTCTGTGCGTTCTGCACTTCGCGAATAAGACCCCACGGTGTTTGAGGGCGGTTGACCTAAGTCTTTGCGGTACCTCGCAAACAAGCCGTCAAGCTGTTGAGTACCGCCCCAAATTCCGGCCTGTTAGCAATCATTCGCGAGGAGCATGCGCAAAAGACGCAGTGTTCGTGCTGCGTTTGAAGTGCTGGGCACTTACCCAGAGGGTCCATATATACCACCATTCTGGAACTAGGTCCCAGAAGACCATCCCCATTATGGTGTTTGGGACCTTATTCCACAACAGTAGAGTATATGGACCCTCTGGGTCATAATGGATCCAGAGGTTCCGGGCTTTTGGCGTTGACTGAGCAGTTCAACTTGAAGGCTTAGCTGAAAGCTCCGAGATCCTAAACCGACGACGCTAAACCCTTAAGCCTTATAGATCCCTTACATAAGCCCCTTTAAAGGAACCCTGAGAGGAACTTCTAAAGGAAGCTTTAAATGGACCTTTACATCACAAAACACAATGCGGATGTTCACGGCTTTGGTGTGGGGGGCGGTCGCGGGTTATGGGATTTAGTTAGAGCTATATGATGTAGGGGCCTTAATAATTAGCTGCACTTTTTGGAGGTTCCTTATTATTATACTTATAGTATACTGGGCCCCAAAACCCTGTTTCAATTATTAAGGCCCCTATATCAGGGTTTGGGGTTCCGGGCCAAATTAGAAAGAATGCTAGACCCCCGAACTCTGGCCCTGGACCCACAGCTACAACCCATCTCGTTTCATGCACCCGAACAACTAGACTGGATTTGTTGATGAAGGGTTGGGGGTTGGGGGGGTGGGGGGTGCTTACATGATGCAACCATGCAGGGGCTGCGAAGATATTGCGAAATCTATTGAAACCTCACTAGTGCACCCTAGGAACCATAAACATTCCTACACCAATGTAGATCCTTTGTGGAACCCCCAACTCAAAGGAACCCTTTAATTACGGCAATCTCCAAAAGTCTGTGCAAAATCTCAGGCCGAGCTTAAACATTCCTACAGTAAAAGCCAGAAAGTTGGAATATGATTATCCTAAACCCTTTATGGTAAATTATAGGGTATCCTACCCTGAAACCATATTCCAACTTTCTGGAGTTCCTTTTAAGCCCTTATAGATTTCTTAAAGGATCCCTGGACTGAAAGGAACCCTTCACTAGGCCGGGAAGTAGCCAGGGAGAAAAAAGGTATAGACGTTTATTTCATAATGGTACCTTTAAGGAACAGGTACCCAAAAAAGTATTCAAGTATAATACTCCAAACCCAGGTTAATTCTCAAAAACTCTATGAATTCTCAGGTCGAGCTGCCGCAGGAATGGCTGCTAATCGCAGGGTGAACTGACAGCTGCTGTCGCCTTGTTGCAGCTCCGGGCTTAGGGTTTAAGGTTTGGGGTTTAGGGTTCAGGGTGTAGGGTTTAGGGCTTAGGGGTTTAGGGCTTAGGGCTGTGACTACATGCGTAGGGACAGGGTATGTTTTCTGTATATATTTGCATCATATATACACACAGTCACACATACATACATACATACATACATACAGACATACATGCATACAGACATACATACATACATACATACATGTTCTGATAATCACTACCGTATGTATGTAGTGGTATATATATATATATATATATACAAATACATACATACAGAGAGCGAGAGAGAGAGAGAGAGAGAGAGAAACAAAAACATGTAGACTAAGACATAGGCTTGCAACAAGATGGACTGTTCTCGCTATCCTTACTGCGCTAGATACAGCTACTTATCTGCCTCCCTGTTTCCAGGCAGCCTCTATACTTGGACGCACAAGTTGGAGGCCACAAAAAGCAGGATGAAGGTATGCAGGATTAACGATCCCTTGTATAAGACTCTATGCTGGGAGTACCCCAACTACCTTCATCCCACCGTTGGAGCCCTTGGAACAAGGAGAAGAGGGTGAGCATCAGCACCCACCACCTTACACCCTAAACTCTAAGCCCTAAACAATACAACCCTAAAACAGTGTAAAACCCTAAAAACCCCAAAAACCATAAAACTCTAAGCCCTAACACCCTAAACCCAAAGCCCTGTAAACCCTAAAACCCTTGGCCTCTACACCCCCGAAACCCTGCCCTGAGCCTCCACTCTTTGCTAGAGTAGAAGCCAGAAAGTTGGAATATCATTATCGTAACCCCTTTAAGGCAAATTATAGGGGGATCCTACCATTAATCCATATTCCAACTTTCTGGAGTTCCCTTTAGAGGGGTGGTTGTCAAAATTAGGATCCCTTCTTCGGGTCTAGAGTTTAGGGTTCAGGGGTTTAGGGTTTAGGGTTTAAGGGTTTAGGGTTTAGGTCCTTATTATATTACGGCACCGAATATTTAGGGTACCCAAAAAAGGACCGTCATTTTGACAACCACCCAGACGGGAGAAGGTCAGCTGGAGGCACCGGACGGGTTTGGGGATTGGGGTGCCCTAAACCCTACTGAACTCCTACAGAAACCCTTTTGGGGTCCCCTAAAACCCAAAACCCTTATAGATCTCTTTGAACCCTAAAACCCCAAACACCTATAGACGATAGATCACTTTATGGGAACCCCAGAACCCAAACACGTTGTAGATCCCGTTTTGGGGGAAGCCTAGGCACTGGATCCCTTAGAGGAACCCAAAACCCTATGAAACCCAAACTTATATAAAGGGCAACCCTAAGCCCTAACCAAAAGATGCAGGCAGGCGACACCCAGCCGATTCACAGCGGCAGGGGCAGCTCAAAGCCAAGTCAATCGACCCCGGATTCAAGGGATCCTCCCACTCGTCGACCTGGGCGTTTCCGAAAACTAGGGGTACCTTATTTTAGGGTCCTTAAAACAAGGATCCTACTGTATAGGGTACTATGTTAGGGTCCCCTATTTTCGGAAACTCCCACCTGTGCTCTTAAGGTCTCTGGGCTTCTGTCTAGGGTTCCTCTAAGGGCTTAGGGTTCCTAGGGTTCCTTTACGGGCTTAGGGATCCTAGGGTTCCTTTAAGGGTTTAGGGTTCCTGGGGTTCCTTTACGGGTTTAGGGATTCTGGGCTTAGGGCTTAGGGTTGAGGGCTCCTTTTAAGGGTTTAGGGCTCGCGGCTTAGGGCTCCTGGGGTGCTGAGGCTGATTCAAGGGTTTAGGGCTTTAGGGCTTTAAGGCTTATGGGTTTGGGGTTTAGGGCTTCTTCTTAGGGATCCTTTAAAGGGTTTAGGGCTTAGGGTCTGTAGGAGATACGCAGTCGGGTTTAAAGTTTAGGGTTTAGGGATCCTTTACGTAAAGGTTTTGGATTCCTTTTCTGAGGCTGCTTTTAAGGGTTTAGGGCTTACGGTCTGTAGGAGATCTAAAACCTAAACCCCAAACCGCGCAGTCATCGACCCTGGGCTTATTGCGGTCTAAGGGTTCCGTTGATGGGTCCTCTTCAAAGGTTGGCGGGGATCTTGGGGTTACCTTTTTCTGGGTTTTTTAAGGGCGTAGGGTTCAGAGTGCAGACCTGGGTTATTTATGCTTCTTGGGGTGCCTTGGACTGGGGTTCCTCTTCAGATGTGAGGTCTGTAAGAGATCGGCTAAGATTAAGGCATATAGGGCTTCGGAAGAGTTCCATGCATCCCTTTCAAAACCCTAAACCTGAAACCCTAGAACCTAAACCCTTCAGGACCCCTAAACCTTGAACCCTACATGAAGGCTTCATGGTTTGGGGTTTATGGAGATGCATTCACAGTCATCGACCCGGGCTTTTCGGTCAGGGTTCCATAACAGCTCATCAACTCTTACACATACCAAAACCTGTCTGCCCGTGGGCTCTTATTGCAAATCAAGAACCTAGAACGCAGAACCAGGTACTCCACATACTGAGATCTCAGCTTTGCAAGCCTTTCACTTCGGTGCCTCTTTAGGTTTTGCGGTTGAAAGATTTGGCTCATTTGGCTTCGGGGCTTAGGGCTCCGTTTTTTCGGTAAGGCTTTGAGGTTTTAGATTTATGCGTCTTCTGAGGTGTCTTGCAAGCTCCCGACGAGGCTTCACAGTGTCCGTTTGGGCTGTCTTCCGAAAAAAACCCTCAACCCTAAACCCTAAACCCCTAAACCCTAAACCCTTCCGGAGAGTTTCCACAAAGGCTCTTAAGATCATCGAATCAATTTACCAGGACCCCACCTTCTATACTAGAGGACCACTAGGCTCTCCATGCAAGGGCACAGTGGGATCAGGGATCAGACAGGGGTGTCCCCTTAGTCCGTATCTGTTTATCATGGTCCTTACAGTTTTGTTCGATGATGTAGATTACGATCTAGCGAGTCGAGGGATTCCGACCAACACTTGGTCCTCGGGAAAACCCATTTTCGATCTCGAGTACGCGGATGATACATTACTTCTATCACTGACCACACCGCAACTAGAAGAAATTTTTTCGTCGTTGGAAAGAGTAGCTGCTTACTATGGAATGTCATTAAATCAAACCAAAACAGAACTCCTCATTCACCCCAATCGTGCAACAAATTCTATTAAGTTTAATTAACAATGGCACTTCGGTGCCGACCACAACGCAAGTTAAGTATCTAGGCTCTATGATAGCTTGGACAAAGCCATTTGAGACAGCATTCCAACACAGAGCCGCACTAGCAGAAACAGCGTACAAAAAACTAAGGCTAGTATGGAACAGCTCCCTTCCCAGGAAGACCAAGCTTCGCATATTCCAAAGTGTATTTATACCTACCCTCATATATGGCCTTGACGCCCTTACCCTAACGGATAAATTTCTTAAGCGCATAGATGCATATTATCTCCGATTCCTCAGAAGGATAGTTGGCATCAAGGCCTCATTTTACTCTCATATTACAAACCACACCGTATGGCGTACGGCAGGGTATCCACAGAAGCCCTCAACACTTCTCAACAAACAACAATCAAAGCGCTTGATAAAACTGTTCCTTGCCTCCCCGGACGATCCCGAACACCACGTAGTTTTTAGTTCGGCGTTCAGGGACAGAATAAGGGTGAAGGGTAGACGCAGCGGAATGCAGTTTCCGTATTGGTTGGAGACCACATCGCAACGCTGTTACCCTTTAGTCTGGAAGGCTAACCCTGGTAGAGGCATTCTAGGTCCCCATGTAGTTTACGCGGAAATCAATAAACAAATCAAGAGAGACCGGAAAAACTCTGAGACGGCGCCAATGCGCGCTCCGACATAGCGCTCACGGCATCCTCAAAAAAACCCTTCCGGAGCTTTAGACGAAGCTGCAGCCACATCCGAAGCATTCAGAGGCAGGACATCGTATCCATAGAAGCCTGCTTTGTGTCTAGGGTTGAAGTTGTTCGGGTCTGGGGCTCAAGGGATGTTTGGGTTTAAGATTTAGAGTCCCGTAAGTATGTACTATTTAAAAAAATCGAGATCCTGCCCCCCAAGCTTTTTATGCCCAGCTTAGCACAGTTCCAGCAGGCGTGACGGTTTAGGGTTGTAGGGTTTGGGGTTGGAGGGTTTAGGGCCTAGGGTTTGGGGTGTCCAGCGTTTCGGGTTTAGGGTTGAGGCTCTCTGCGGTTTGAGGGTTTAGGGTTTAAGGCTTACAGCTTAGGTTTTGGGGTGTCCAGCTTAGGGCATAGCAGGGTTTAGGGTTCGGGGCAACTCACTTGACATGGATCATAATTGAGGTTCGCACTGATATACTTCCCTGAAGCTCAACACAAGGTGTTCGTCAGCCATGATGCTCTGTGGATGTCAAAAAGCATGCACCCGAAGCCTTACACAGCCTTTACCTCAGTTTGCTGGAAACCTGAACAAGTAGAATCGGTTTCGGTAGATCAGGGTATAACAGTTAAGGACCATGAGGGGGGGGGCTTCCATAGGGTATTCCGAAACCCTGCCAGACTGTCCAACTATCTAATCCCTCGACGGTGCGGGCTTGAATGGACAAGAACCTTACCTACTTAGACATGATCTAAGCCCCAGGCTCCGATACAATAAGCAAGTACTGCAATCTCGGGTTTGGGTCTAGAGAATCCTAAATTCCGAAACTCAAAATCCCTACAACCTTCAGGCACTATAAAACCCTGAAGCCAGAACGCACGCCCTGAAACCACACAGCCGAAACGGCTTAGGGTCATTACATAGGTCGGCTTAGGTAAGCGGGGTTCAGCCGTGAATCTGTGCCATCTTCGGTTTCGAGCTTTAACGTTAACCCTTAAACCCGGACTCCAAACTCTAAACCCCAAGCCCTGAACCCTGACCCTGAACCCTAAACCCCAATTCCCTAATAAAACCTGAACTCCAAACCCTGTGCAGGGAGTCCTTCGGGAGCACACTTGCTCTCCTCCGGCAACGACAGCGGCACGGCAGCGGGATACCTCGGGGAATTCCCAAGGTTTTGGGTTTCTTCAGGACTTTAATGCCAACCTTCTGAACACAAGCGTGCTACGGTTGATGATATCAATCCTGCATTACCCATAACAAGGAATATACCAAAATTCCCATAATTTAGGGTCCTTAAGGTCATGCAGGATTTAGATCATCACCCGTAGGGTTCGGGGTTCCGGGTTAAGGAATTCATACAGGGCCCTCACATCATTAGCCTACGGGTTTGGGGGAATTGCTATGATGATGCTAAGGACCACAACTTCTCTTACAGTACTACTAGACATTCCGACTTCCCTAAACCCTATAAATCCTAAACTCTAAACTTCCTAAACCCTAAATCCTAAACCCTACGCTCCCTGAGCCCTAAACCCCAAAACTCCTTAAACCCTAATCCAAAACTCCCAAAACTCCCTAAAACCTAAACTCCCTAAACCCTAAATCCTAAACTGCCTAAGCCAGGCGCCAAAAGCCCTGAGCCCGCCTTTAGGGGTGTAGGGGGAGGGGGGGTAGGGGGCCTTAAGGCCCACAATAAGGACTAATAAGGCCTATTTAAGGAAATATAGTCCCCACCACCCCTCCCCCCTACACCCCTAAGGATCCCTATGAACATAAGGATTTCGTACAGGGGCCTGAATAATTAGAATAGGGTTCCTTTAAGGATGCTATAAAGGCTTCTATAAGGGATCTATAAAAGGGTTCTATGATTATTAGCAAGAATAGGGTTTGGCGGGGCACGTTCTACATAGTTATAGTAAGGAACCCCCCACAATAGTATAGGTACTTACTATAAGGTCTCATAGTATCCTCTTTCGTGCGCTGATCACTGCCAAGATGCGACGGTGCCTGGAAGTTCAAGTCGTCCTTGGAGGTTCTATACATCTGTATGGGCTCTGTAAGGATTCCTTTGATGATTCTTAATATAGGGGTTCCAGAAGGGTTTAGGGGTGCCAGATCAAGGCTTTGAGGTTCTAGGGTTTAAGGGTTAGGGTTTAGGGCTTAGGGTCTAGGGTTGTAGGGTTGAGGGTGCAAGGTTTAGGGTTCTAAGTGACTTGTGGTAGGTCTTCGTTCGGGTTTGCGCAACAGACGGAAACTGGAGCTTCGGGTAGCTTCGGTGTTGAGGACTTCCAGCGCCAGGGGCTTGAATTACACTGTGACTCAAAGAATCGTCGTTGCAGTACGTCCCTGTGGGGCCCCTGAACATGGAAACCAGAGAGGTGACGACCCGTGACGGCCGATCCTCTTTAGACTCGAGTCACATGATGACATGGAAACTCGAATCTGGTGGGGTAGAGAGCCCAATACCCCTTGATTAAGGAATATAGCTTAAATCATAATATGAAGCCCTATATAATTTAAGCCATATTCCTTAATTAAGGGGTATTGGCCTCTCTGGGGGGATAGGGGGTTGCAAGTGTGTAGTGTTTTGTGCTCCGGAAGGATAGCTACCTATACCCAGCCCTTATGGTCCTGAATCCTTAATAACTAGTGGGTATTTGGAGTATATTAGAGGGTAGTGCGGGATCTAGGTATAAGCCCTGCTTAAGGCAGCAAAGCTTCGATGAAGAGAGATCCCCAAGCTTGGATCACCAAGACGGACACGACTGCTGCGCGCCGCATGGCATTTTCGAGACAAGGAAGCGACAGTCAAGCGATCTCCCAGGGGCGCCCCGGATTTTGTGGTGTGGCGGTGATGCTTTGGATGGCTTGAAGATGGGAGTTTCCGAAAATTAGGGGGGGTACCGTATTTGGGGGTCCTTCTTATTAATAAGGATCCGACTATTTAGGGCACTGTATTAGGGTCCCCTATTTTCGGAAACTCCCAGATACCCTGGGCCGTAAGCCTAGATACCATCGAATCCTTTTGAAGCTTGAGGGCTGCGCTGCTTACCTGAAAACGAAGGTTTGACCTCAACACCCTCTCCCTCCGTTGATACATGGACCCTTAGGGTCCAAATGATGCTTGAAGCCGAGACGCGGCAGCGGAGAAAACTGGGGTTGAGGTTTTGGGTGAGGTTTGCACGGGTTAGCGCGTCCCAGAACCCGAACCCATGACCTGTATTCTTTCATGTTGAGAGGTGGAGCGCGGGGATTGAGGATTGAAGGTTTATCCAACAGAGAAGTGTGCGGTACAAAAACGTGTGATGCAGACATCCCCTCATGTTCCTCTACAAAATCCGTCAGGCACGCCAAAAGACCTTAGAACATGCGATCGTCTGGACTGTGCAAATGCGCACAACAAAACAAGGAAAACAAGAGCTTGCACACCCTGCATGTCTAACAGCATCTAAAACCTTGAGGATACAGGATACCAGGTTGACGCCAGGCCTCGTGATGCGGCATTGCTGTAGAAAGTAATGCAGGGGCCTTCGCTACAATAGGGTTCAGGGTAATGCAATATATGCTTACATGTCAAGGAAAACCCTCAGGGATACTAGTAGTAGCAGGAGTAATAGTAGTAGTCGTCGTCTAGTAGTAGTATCGCAAGTCATTTGAAACTATTCCCTAAGGCTCTAAGGGTCCAAGTACTGAATATTATAAATAAGGACCACTTGCACCTTTAAAGGGACGCACATTATTCAGCGTCCATACTACGTAATGTACGGCTTCGGGATCAGGGACCTCAGGCCACGACATTCTGAACCAAGCATCCTGAACCAAAACCATCGTTCGCAAACACCTACCCACACAAGAAGCTCCCCAGAGACTCCAAAATCCCTTAATTAAGGAATACACCTTAAATCATAATTACAAGGGATCCTTCCACGGTCTAAGGCATATTTCTTGATTAAGGGATATTGGAGTCTTTGGGTCACCCTGCGGCTTCCCACCTGAACCTTTGACGGCGCTTGAAGCTCACAAGCGTCCGCCCCGGCAGGTGCCATGGAAAGGCATGTGGGAGTTTCCGAAAATTACAGATACCTTATGTGGGGTCCTGACAATCAGGATCCTCTATATTTGGGATACTTTATTAAGGTCCCCTGTTTTCGGAAACTCCCATTTGCGGTGCTTCTGTTTCGGGTTGGTGGTTTCGGGTTTGACCCTGAACCCTAAACCCCAAACTCTCAACCCTAAACCCTAAACCCCAAACCCTAAACCTTAAACCCTAACCCCTAAACCCTAAACCCCCAAACTCTCAACCTTAAACGGAGACAACCAGAGTCCGCGCTGCCACTCCCGACCCAAGCAAAGATGAATCTGGCATGGATGGGGTTTAGGGTTTAGGGTTTAGGGGTTTAGGGCTTGGGGTTTAGTATAGGGGTTTAGGGTTTAGGGTTTAGGGGTTTAGGGCTTAGGGTTTAGTATAGGGGTTTGGGGCTTAGGGGTTTAGGGTTTAGGGTTTAGTATAGGGGTTTAGGGTTTAGGGGTTTGGATTTTCGCCGCCCAGTTCGAGAAAGGCAGTCGAGTTGGACACCAAAGCTCGTGGGGGGTAGAACACCAACTACTTCGTAAACTCCGGATCTTGAGAAGCCGTTTGCAGGTCTGCGTGCCAAAATACGGGACTGCTAAAGTGTGTACTAGATGAAGGGTTACTTAAGGTCCAGGATCCAGGGCACGTGCTCTCTCTATAAAGACTGCTGTACTTAGTTTAACTCCCTTCTTCCGTTAAGACGTAAGCAACGAAATTGAATCAGGGTCCCTGAACCCTAACCCTAATCCCAGCTGGAACCTACCTCGACCCCCCAACTACACTCTAATATACCCTAAGTACACACTATTAAGGGCCATAAGGTCTCTATTACGGAGTACTTCGGGGGTCCTGGTAAACCCAAACCCCCAACCCTAAGCTGAACAAACGAAGTACATAGGAGCCGCATAGCCCCTTCTCAGCTGCAGATGAGCCAGAGCAACGGTTTCGGGTTTAGGGTTTAGGGGTTTAGGGTTTATAGGTTTAGGGTTTAGGGTTTAGGGATTGGGGCTTATAGGGTTTAGGGTTACTCAGCTTTAGTCCGCTGGGGCTTCGGATTTAGGATTTTTGGATTTGGGGTTTACGGGCTTCAGGTTTTTCGATGTTTATAGTGGTTGGGATTTATGGATAAGTGCTTCCACCTACAGCTGGCGCGGCATCATACCGCACGACACGTGCAGTGATCGTGAGAGAGGACGCTTGACGCTAGTCCACTTACATGTCCTAAGGCTCAGACAGAACAGTTCCCAAGCCTCAACTGTAAGCCCCAAACTCATCTGCGTTTAGGATTCAGGGTACCATCTAAACCTAAAAGATCAGAGATCATCAGATACATCCTGAAAGCTACGGAACGAACCTTGTAGATGCAGTGCTACTTCAACTCGGGAGTAGTAATTGAGAAACCTCAAAACAGGTCCCTTCAAACCGAAGCCGTTTGCCGGAACGGAACCATCCAACATGAATCCTGAAAGCCCTGACAAGTTGGTTCACCACATCTTTGCTGGTCAGGGTCTGGGGCTTTAGATGGAAGTCAGAAACCCGGAGATTAGACATTAGACCCATGAAGGCAGGCAGCTCTACAACCCTTTTCTCCTGCCTAGGAGATCCCTGATCGAATCCGCAGAATACAACCCTTAAGAGAACCTTCAGGCGAACCTTTACAGGACCCTTCAAGGTCCTGAAAAGTAGCCCTCAACCCGGTTTAGGGTTTAGGGTTTAAGGTTTAGGGTTTAGGGATTAGGGTTTAGGGTTTAGGGATTAGGGTTTAGGGTTTAGGGTCCCTTGACAACAAGATCCATTTGTCTACACGGCCGTCTCCTCTAAGACCTCACCGCTTCCAGCAGCTCGCTGACGCTTCGGCACAGGGTCCGGGGGGAGGGCACAGTCCTGGCACATTTAGGGCTTTTGGGTTCAGCGTTCAGGGTTTAGGGTTTAGGGTATAGGGTTCGGGGTTTAGGTTTAGAGTTTCCGAAAATTAGGGGTACCTTATTTTGGTGTCCTTATACTGAGGATCCTACTATCTAGTGTACTATATTGCGGTCCCGTATGTTGGGAAACTCCCTTATTGCAAACAGGCAGATACGACTGCCCCTGTGAGGTGGTTTGCTGGGGGTCATAAGACATATGGGTGGTTGTCAATATTATGGTCCCTTTTGGGGTCCCTATTATAATACGGCGCCTATTATTTAGGGCCCATAGAGGGACCATAATTTCGACAACTACCCATATGTAGATTAAGGCTTCAAGGATTTCTGTCTACAGATGTATTGGGGAAGCCTATGGAATAGTACGGTATTACTCAGGATGTGATGAAGTCTTTGGGATTGGGGCCTAGTTCAACTTAAGAGTGGTAACTTCCTCCCTTTGAAGAAACTAGTTCATTGTTGGGATTGGACTAAAAAAATGTCCACGTTTATTCCTTATTGGGTTTAAGTACCCATAAAATGTAAAATTTCACCCAACTATGACAAAGGAAAATCTGTACCCTGAACCGGCTTGGGGGTCTTGGGTTATTGGTTTAGCGACCCTGATGACATTGCAAAGTCCTACAGAAGCCCTACGGTTGATGATAAAAATCCTGCACTACCCATAATGAGATATACCATAATTTCCCATAGTTTAGGGTCCTTATGGTAATGCAGGATTTATATCCCAAAACCCTAAAGCCCTATAGATCCTTTAAAAGAGCCCCTTAAAGGTACCCCTATAGAGCCCTTTCAAGGAACCCTAGGATTGAAACAGTAGAAACCCAACTGATCTAAAATTGCGGGGAGGGGGCCTCCTCTGCCACTGCTGCAGTGCCTCGGTCTTTCGGCTTCAGTGGAGAAACGGGCTTCGTATCTGCTGGGGTTTTGGGTTGACAGGGTTTAAGGAGAATCGGGCTTGGTAACCCTAAACCCTAAACCCCTAAACCCTAAACCCTAAACCCTAAACCCTGAACCCTAAACCCTAAACCCTGAACCCTAAACCCCTGAACCCTAAACCCGCTTTGGGTTTTCTGTCGGGTCTAGGCCTAGGCATTGCGGTTGTCAGTATTATTCCACCAACCCTACGCACCTCGGTCCTAAACCCTAAGCCCCGAAACCTTGCCCTCACAAGTTTAAGGAATTGCCCCAAAAACACCAACAAACTTCAAGCCTAACATCAAAAACCTAGTTCAGACAGTTTGATCTAGTGATCAACCCGCAAATCCTAACAAACAACAAGCTGCATAGACCTTGAAACCCCAAACCTGCATCCCTAATGCAAAACCTTAACTCCCCAATCCTAAGTTCAAAAACCCCAAACCTGCAAGCCTAAACCCCCAAACCACAATAGCCCCTTAACCCATACAACCCCTAAACCCTGAACCCAAAGCCCTAAACCCCAAAACCCTTAATAACCCCATAAACCCATACAGCCCCTAAACCCTGAACTCAAAACCCTAAACCCCAAAACCCTTAATAGTACAACCCCTAAACCCTGAACCCAAAGCCCTAAACCCCAAAACCCTTAATAGTACAACCCCTAAACCCTGAACTCAAAACCCCTAAACCCCAAAACCCTTAATAGCACAACCCCTAAACCCTGAACCCAAAGCCCTAAACCCCAAAACCCTTAATAGTACAACCCCTAAACCCTGAACTCAAAACCCCTAAACCCAAAAACCCTTACTAACCCCAAAACCCTAAACCCTAAACACTAGCCCCTAAAGCCTCAAAACCCTTACTAA